ACTGAAAACACAACAGATTATTCTGAGTTGAAGCGCAGAGTTGAAAATTTTTTTTCCGAGAGCAGGGGCGATGTGATGCCTGATGCGTAAAGGGATCGAGCGAATCGATGATACGTGGAATCTTCGACGATTTTCCGCTTTGTAAATAACGCACTTGCGCGTAATAACACGCCGATGTTTCCTTGAAAAGTGCAAAGGTTTTTGAAATATCGGTTCTCCGTCGATGACGCGCGTTCTAAACTTTTTTTGTTTTAACAAAATGCGTTTCGTCAGCTCCGAGGTCGACTTGTGTTGAATGGTGTTTTAAATACTTATTCGCCAAGGGATTTTTTAAAGGGGTTTCGCGTCCACGCCACCGCGTAATTAGCGATGAACGCGTTTTTTTTTCTTTTCTTTTCGAATTATGAGAGGGGAACACTTAAATAAAAGCACGAGAAAGCACTCGACTCGCAGCTATTACAGTCGACAACAATTCGAAGAATGCAGAAAATGTCTCAGAGCCATTAAAAACTTTCGTAGAATTGAGCCGCGGAAAAGAGGATCTCACGAGCACCTACCTCCGCATTTGTATGAAAAGCGCGTCAACAGCAGAGCTATTCGAAGGCACTTTCTCTCTCCCTCTAACTATTTGAACAATCATTTTGAAAAGTCACGCTTATATCACCCCGACTGATCCTAAAATGGAGGCACTGGCAGGCGCGAGGGCACGAAAATAAGTTGAGGATGAAATTCAACGATTGAACTGCAGCGTCTCTCGCGCGGTGCGTCGAAGCTCGCGATCAATATGGGCAAAGTTGAAGCGAGCAGCCGTGGGGCTTAAATACTTATGTGCGCTCCCGGTGCGTACAAGGATCACAACGGAGGATGGAAAGGACTCGTTAGCGCCGATGGCGTTTTCATGCGTCACGAATGAGAGAGCGTTTTGTCATTTTAAAGCGCTTTGCCGTGGGGGGGGGGGGGGGGGGGGGACGCTGCGGCTACCTTTCCCGAGCCCCTCGGGCAAAGCCAAGTATCAACTTACAAAGTGCGCTCGTTTGGCGAGCGCCAATTTCGCGCCAGCGCACGGTTATTTTCCGAGTGCGCGCGGGGCGCTCCGTTTCGTTGATAAAGTCGTGCGCTTTAACTTCAGGGGTAACGATCGCGGTAATAATTATTACCGAGAGCAAAATTACAGCCGGCTAGAACGTGACGTTCGACGCGGCGGTTACGTATACGTACAATTCGAGCAACGTACCCGTTAAATTTTACTTTGAAATGCGCGCACGTGTGCACGACTTTCTCTCTCTCTCTCTCCAACGCCTGCTTCACCCGTGCTTTCACATGCAAAACCCGTTAGAACGCAGCAAATTGTACGACGCGAAGTCATTAAAACAAAATAAAAAAACTTACAAATGAACGCTAAGGGAGTAAACACGAGGAGCGGTGGAATTGTTTACGAGAACGCTAATTGCGACAGTTGGCTTCAGATTAGTAACATCGTCTCTTAGCGCTTCTCTTGCAAGTCTCTTCCTCGGTTGACACGTCCTTTAGCGCAAGCTTGGACTTGGCCCCGGGAATCCGGATGTTTACGAGACTAGTTGTTGCTCGCCGGAGCGAAGCTCTCTAGACGGGACGAGAACTCGATGCTCAATTGAATGTAATAAGCCTGCGACATGTAGATTGCAAGGAGCTGCCGCGCTGTTCAAACATAAACTGCGAACTGCTGCGTTTCACTGTCAAATCTGTCGGTACAATTGAAGATTCCTGCATGCATCGCGGCTCGGCGAGTCGAGAATTTTGAAGCACTAATTTTGCTTATCGCGACGAAAAAGTCCCGGGGACAAAGAGAGAAACGAAAAAAAAAGGAGTTTTGGAGAAGGGCCGAGGAGGGAAGGGAAAAAAAGCGCCCCCCACGCGGCTGAATGTTTCATGAATCACTTTTGAGTCATAAAATATTACGCTCGGCTCGGTTGCCCGCCGCCCGTGCAGCAATAATTCACCTCGTTCGTTAAAAGCAGCGCGGCGGGATAGGCGAGCGCGTGCGTCGTTTACACGGAAGCCGCGTGCACGCGGTCCTCTTTTATTTGTTCGTTTCTCTAATTGATGGCGCGGAAAATTGATGCGTCGTCGCCGCCGTGTCCTCGAATCTCGCGCGAGCGCAAAATGTCGCTCGCGGTCGTTGTTGTTCCTCGGTTACTTTATTAACTCGAAGGGACTTACGGAAATGCCCTGGTAATTTACGGCAACTTTCATGATCCTATAAACAGTCCCGCGTTCGCCCGAGAAATGGAGCTTTCAATTTATATTCTGGATACGCGCTCGCACTCTCGAAATGCCCACTCGTTGGGATACAGTTCTGAAATAATAAACAAAAAGGCAAGAAGCGCATTCTCTCGTTGCGCTATCGCGAGCATTTGGAGCAAGGACGGACAAAGCTAATAGTACGGGAATGAAAAATGTATGAGGCGAACTGGAGTGAGGATCCGCCGTTGATCAATGTCAAGCTTAGCTTTTGCAGTATTCACGGGCTTTGGCGCGAGTACGAGCGTCCATTTGATTCGGCCAGCTCGCAGCCTCCACTCGCAGCACGGCGAAACCAATCGATGGGGTGGAAGTAATTCTATGCTCGATCAATTTTCACTTCCTTCCTGACTTCGGTGCATCGTGTACGCGTGTCTGGCAAGCTCGCCGTCTCTCTTTTCCGCGGCCCGTTCGTCTCTAATGGCAAACGGCATGCGGATGGAATGCGTCGAGGGCTCTCCCGTCTCGATGCTTCGAGAAAATTAACGCGATCGCGTCGAACTCATAGTCGGACTCGCCGTCGATGATAAAAAAAAGTATCACTTCGCTTTTCAAAGTTTCTTTTTCGACCGGCGCCAATGGAGTTTGTGTATTTTTCGACGGCTTTTCAAAAGCTCCATTACTGCATTGGACGAACTGCATCGCGAAATAAGTTCTGTCCCGGTGCACCGATAATAACTTTCATCATTAGATTACGTTTATTCCGCGTGTGACTTTTCAACCTGCCGTATAGCCGAAAGACACGTTTTTTTTTACGTATCGAAAAATCTAATTTTTCATATTTACCTTCCGATAAACTTCGCATCGAGCACTCTCAAACGTCCATTTTATTAAAATCGTTTCGTATAATTGATGATAAACGATATTAATCAAAAGTATTTCATTAATATTTCATATTATATTCATATCTCCAGTTAACGCGAGATATGTTTCAAAAATACAATCAAGAAAAACAAGAAAAAGGCGAGTGTGGTACAATACGCTTCGAAAATTCACTGATTTATAAATAATACCTTTCGGTCGCGTCGAGGCGTAATGACACGCGTAAAATATCGCATGACAACCTACGTTCCTTGCGCATAAATCTCAAAATCTCACACCCGAAATTCAGCGATAGGCAAACAACCCTTTCACACCCCCGTGCGCTCGTCCAAAAATACCTAAGAGAGACCGCGACGCAGTAATAATCCTTGCGCCCTATATATATATACCTCTCTCTCTCTCTCTCTCTCTCGTTTAGGCGAGTGCGTGGGCGAGCATAAAACATTCAGCGGCGGTAATCGCATCAGTTCCCAGCGTGATGTAAGCAGATTCACTCGATCAGCCCCGGGAAGGTCGCAGGCCGTCGCTACCTTCGAGCGAGCGCTCTCGATCGTTATACGGTTCCCCGCATTCCTCTCTCTCTCTCTCTCGTCACAATAACCGTTCGATCGGCTCTTTTATTTCGTTCCCGGGAATATCGAAGGACGCGAGCCGCGTTCCGCACGCACAAGTGGCCAGGTGAAAACCGCGCGACCTCGCGCATCCGCAACGCACTCGCGGCGTGCACACAAGGGAAAACACATCAAATTTTTTTTACGTCTCTTTTGCGTGCTCCTCTCCCACGACGACTCTGTACCGCTGCAGCACCCGCGGGGACGCGCGCGTCTCTACTTGCCCTTGCCGATTGGAAAAGACACGGAGAGCCGAGCGCGGACGCGCGTGTCGCAGGATTTTCTCGTCGAAGCGCGCCTACACGAACACAACTCAATCAGCGAAACTCGATTTGCTGCGCACCAAAGGAATCGTCGCGCGCCATCTCACTCTCTCGGTGCTCAATGCACGAGCGGCTATATAATGTACCCTGATCTTTAAATTGATAGCTTCGTTTAGAATTGCGGGAATTTTGCGTTTGTCGTTTTTAATCTTGTTCCGATGGATGGTTACGTAAGGCTGCATTTTTCCTTCCAAATTAATAGAAATGAATCATACATCGATCATATCCGTAAAATGTTCTTTTAAAACAAAAAATAAATAAATAAAATAATGAAAAACTCATGTACTTAATTATCCGATGGAACGCGCTTGGATTATAGGAAATCATTAGTGTTTGTATAATTTATGAAATCATCTATATGCAAGCGTGTCCTTGTTCCATTCTCTCACAATTTGTACTTGTTATATGTAATAACGAATGAATTTATATATAAATAAATGTACATATGAACAACGGTTTCGACGTAGTATTAATCGTTGAATGGTTTCCACATTTTACGAATATATAATAATATAATATATATTAGTAATCTTTTGGGTACGGAGAAAAAAGCCTTGGCGTTCATCGGTAAATCATGTAAGTTAATGTGAGCAACAAAAACCAAATGAAACAAACCTAATCAGCAGGTACAAAAATCATCGTCGAAGAGCAGAGCCTGCCGTACGTGGAATACAAAACTTCTGCCCGCAGACGCGCCGTCAACGACGATCTCGAAATATACTCGAGCTCTCCCACCAGATTTATTTTGCGCGCGTCTGTTCTTTCGTTGTCCCGCGAGCATTTGCATATATACATTGAGCGAAAAAAAGCGACGGCTGCATTGACAGTCATGGAGATGATCGCACTTTTACTGGGTTTGGGCAGTCGTTGGCCCGGCGTGCAGGGCAGCCGCCTGCGTGAACTGCTACAGTCTATGCAGAGGTAAGCGCATTCACACACACACTTCGAAAGCGAAGCTCTGGTGCGCTGCGCAGTTCGATACCGTGCGCTGTGCCCATCCGGGGGGGCGCAAGCGAGAAAACCTAACCTCAAATGTGCTGTGCGCTCCTGTGTGCGTGCCTGTGCTTTGCTCTTACGTTATGATAAGACTCCGCGGTGTTTTGACTACGATTTGCCGTGCAGCGGCCCGATAGCGTCGCGACTTTTGCCCATCGCACACACAGTCTTCAAGCTGGACCTCATACGCTCGCTCACCTCCCTTCTCTCCTTATTCAGGCCGAACGCCATGTTTCCTGCTGTCATGTTTGTTTATGCTTTTTTGTATACATATATCGCACCTCTGGTCTTTGTTCGCTTTCCGTTACTTCATTCTTAATGTTTTTGCAGCAGTGACGACGAGCCATCCGATTACTATCCTCCAAATAATCAAGGACCTAAAGACGCTAACGTCATTGCCAATAGAAGTGTACTCGAAGTACGTACATTTTCAAACAATATATTTCTTTTTTCAAGCTTTTGAACGTTAGTTCCAGTTATTAATCGTTTCATCATCAATTTTAAAATGTCTGATTGAACAGAAAGATAAAACGTAAACAATTACAGCTGTAATTTTTACAGAGCTAAATATAGATAGCTAATCTATACTTTTAATCTTCATTCATTCTCTGATGTTCCAGTTTTTTAAATTCATCAAACGAGTTGAATTTTACAACTTTTTTTATGTTTTCCCATCTTTATTATGTGACAGCATAATGCAAAATAGCGACTATTGCATTTTTAAATCAACGATAATTTTCTGCAAAATAATAGATATTTAATTCGTTCAAAATAGTTTATCTTATAGCAAAGAATAATGACATAAAATAGAAGAAATTGTATTGAAGTTTTTTCCAAAAATACTCATTATGCTAAAAAAAAAAATTAATTTACATGATTCGTTTCAGAAAAGCGATATTAGCCTGCTAACAAGACAAGCCTGCGGCTTGAACTATAACGATGACTTATTGACACCATCAGTGCCACCTTTGATTGAGCGTCGCGAGCAAGGACCGAATTTCACGTGTGGGCAAAGATGCAATATAGCCGGCAACTTTTTGCCAAATCATATGCAAAGAATAGCTAAGTACAACAACAAGCCATTCTGCGGCACATTCTCACAGGATGGAAACTTTTTGCTCACTACCACGCATGGTTCGTACAATTTTTTTTCTTTATTAATGATTGCTGTACGATGCACACGACTGTGCAATTTGTTTATCTGTGAGTCCGTAAATACTCTGGTGGCACAACTTCGAGCGCCACCTACTGTCATTAAATAATATTACGGATAGTGTTTTTATTGACAAATGGAAAGTACATTATTTTATAGAAAACTGAAAGAAATTATTTTTAGCAATTTTAGTTGATTTGACATTTCAAAGATACTGTTTTAATAATCATGAATAATAAGATTACTTTGCAATTGCAGATAGAGTTGTACGCTTGTATAAATGTATAAATGGCTGGTACAACGAGTACAAAAAGTTCTCCGTCTCGGCTGTTGGCTGGAGTATTCTGGATACTGCCTTTAGTCCCGATGCTAATTATTTCGTTTACTCTAGTTGGTCTGATTATTGTAAGTATATTATTAATGAATAACGTGAATGTCTATTGAATATATTTATTATTTTACAGTGTACATGCATTCAGTTTATGGGGATCCACAGCATCGAGAACCTCTGTTGTTGAGCGCGGAGCATCCAATGTTCTGTGTCTTTTCAGTTGTATTTTCCAGTGACGGTCGCGAATTATTCTGTGGCGGCAACGACGGATGCCTCTATATCTACGATCGAGGATCTCAGCTATGTTCAAAGGTAGTTATTTACCTATTTTACCGATTTGACACTTAAAAATACGAAAAGCTGTATGTACATTGAAATTTTGTTTTTAAGGTTCGCGGGCACAATCACGATATAAACAGCGTTGCGTTTGCCGACAGTTCATCTCAAATTTTATACAGTGCCGGCGACGATGGTTTTTGCAAAGTAAAATATACTCGCCCACTCAAAAGCTCTTAAAATAATAATCAATTATAATCACGCAAAGTGTTACTTTAGGTTTGGGATAGGCGATCATTACACGAAGACAACCCACAGCCGGTTGGTGTTTTAGCAGGTCACTTGGGTGGAATCACTTACGTTGATCCTCGAGGCGATGGAAGGCATTTGATAACCAACAGCAAAGATCAAACTATCAAACTGTGGGATGCACGAGTCTTTTCGAGTAAAGAGGCTCAAGATACTGCATCGGCATGCGTTAACATTGCTAACAACTCATGGGATTATAGATGGCAGAATGTACCAAAGAAATGTTAGTTTGTTTAAAACAAAGTTATTAAAAAATTCCAAATTTTGACGATTCATAGTGACCTAATAAACGTTTCATTTTTAGTCTTATATCCGAGAAAACCATTGGAAGGTGATACGAGTGTAATGACTTATCGCGGACATATTGTAGTACAGACTTTGATTCGATGTCACTTTTCGCCAGCTGCAACCACTGGCCAGAGATACATTTATACAGGTTGCGGTACTGGACGAATTATAAGTAAGTGTTTCCTCATTTTCATTTATTCTACGTAACGTATGAAATTAATTCATACATTCGTATTTTTTATAGTTTATGATTTACTCACCGGGAAGATTGCGAAATCCTTGAAAGGACACAAAACAGTCGTTAGAGATGTTAGCTGGCATCCGTACAATCCAGAAATCGTCTCGACTTCGGTAATACCATTTCGCAATATTTTATCAAGGAAATCAATTATTTTGAAGAATAATTAACTAATATCGTTTTTCAGTGGGACGGTGAAATTGCAAGGTGGCGATACCTGAACGAAAACGACGTAGATGATTTATCTGCTGCGACGATGGAGATGATGTCTGACTCTGACGACGAATCATCAATACCAGCAAGACGAACGCGCAGTCAGACTGCCAAGCGTTCGAAACGAGTATGGTTCAGGAATTTTCGTTAGAAAATATTAGAACATCTTCATAACTTTTCGAGAATAATACCACTCGACCCACTCGACGTTTTCTGAAAGAAGCAAATAACATTGTGATAAAAGTTCGTGAAGAATTACTTGTAATATATACGCGTTATGAAAACATTGTACATCACATAATTAATTCGTAAGCGTTTGCTATTTTTTTTGTTTATTATTGATACAGTTCTTTCGCCGAGATAGAAAAACTGTTATTTAAGGTATTAATTATTATTCTCTAGCTATAATTTCAAAAGAAATAACTACTTTTTTCACGAGCGATTGTGATAAAAAAAATTAATAAAAAAGAAAAATGATATTTTTCGACTGCTTGTAAAAAAAAATGTCATCATAGATTAAAAGAATATAGTATTTAGTGAAATAATAGTTGTTCACATGGAATATTTGAGTCGCAGTAATGCCGATATTATGAAATGCAAAATAAATGTACTTTCGTTAGAATAAGTTTCGATCGGTGCACATTACGTAAAAAAATGTATCTTTTTATATATATATAGTGTTTCGTGGGAATTATTCGCATCGCGGTTGATATTCTGCGTGTTTTTTATAGTTTCTTAGGGATTCAATGTAAAAAATTACGTTATCTGTCTTATAAAGACACCAAAATGGTGAAGAGAATAAAGTGCGAGTTATTACAATATCCAAAGAATGTATCTGCATTTTCTATACATCCCGTAAAAATGAAGCTAGATTTAAACGAGGTCGAACGAAGTTACACCTGTTGCGCCGCTGCTAACTGCGAATGGTAAGTACTTCGCGGACGTAGAGTGAGGAGTCCCCTTTTTTCGTAATTCACTTAATTTTACTCTCCGGGGCTTCGCGAGAAGCCGACGTCGTCACACAGGCCTTGAAATGCGATTTTGATGTTCCACAGGGTCTTCGGGCGGAGCGCGGTCGATGATGAAACTTGCCTTTGGTTATACGCGGTGATTTTACGTTTCGGGTATTGATGCATAATGAAATTGTGCGCTGACGTTTTTCAGATTAGTTTTCAAGATTTAGAATACGTGGAAAGAAAAAAATAAAATCAACGTTAGAAATAAACGTTTTTTTCTAATACAGTGAAAACATTAATGACAACTACAAACAAACAAACATTATATGACATAATTAAAAAATCCTGAAATAATAACGTTTTTATTTATTAAAGAAAATTGATGCATTAGCTTATTACAAAACGCATGGACGGTAATTATCTCAGAAGACGAAGTCATAGAGCTAATCGTTCAATTAAATTAATAAAAGCAAATGTGATCGCTTCATATTGATTTTCCGTACTTCAGAAGTCTCCGTATAGTAATAATAAAAAATAAAAAAATAATTGCTCAATTAGCGAATAACTAACTGATTTTAAAAAGCATAACAAGGAGACGCAAATCAATTATAAGTTACAGCGCAGCAGACAAAATTTCTCACGTTATCCGAAAAGAGATGCTCAATGTCGGTCGAGGCATTCACGAAAGGGGCCAATGTCGCAAGCGGCGACCTTTTTTTCTACTGTCTCGCCGAGAATTCGAACGCGCGTGCGAACATTACGCAATCGTCACTAGCGACGTTTTCTCATTTCCTCTGAGGCGCAGGTGTCAATTGACGTTCGCCACGTCTCGTACGTCGCAGCTCGCCTCCCTTCGCAATTTCGTTCTTCCTCGCCGCGAAATCCAATATACGGAGCGAAAAGTGCCGAGCGGGCCAAAGAGATCGATCAACCGGAAGCGCGCTCATAAAATTCGCTGCTCGCGCGCACAGCCGAGCTCCGTTGCGAAGACGCACTTGATATTTTTCTCAGCCTTCTCGACCGACTCGGCACGCGCCGAGGGAAAGTTCAGGGCGACACTCGCGCTGACACTAATTGACGTTGCTCGAAGCGATCGCACGCGTCGCGTGGCTTTAATAGGAAATGAAATTGCCTCGTGCGCGCGCGCGAGAGCTAATCGCGTCGCGACTGATCGCTCGCGTGCCGAAATCGTATAATCGGACGTCCTTTGGAAACTGTCGCCTCGCCGCGCCAGCCCATAGTCGCGGGATTTTCTCGCTTCGTTGCCGCGGGTCGAGGACTCGAATCGCCGACGACGCACCCTTCGCGCGTGCACGCTCGTTTTGCCGCGCAAACCGGCGCGCGCGCGCTCGCACGATCACGCGATAAATCAAAATTATCTCGATAATTGTGGCTTACGTAGCGCACACCCGCGAGATGCGATTTGTATTCAATGTATGCCTGAAAAAAAATTAATTACCTCGATCAAGTTGCGTTCGATATGACGCGCGTCCTGCGAGAATTAAATGTCGCTATCAACCTATTTAACGTTAAATACCTTTGGGCGAAGCATCAAGCAACTTCAAGAAGCCAATCGCACGGCCAATCGACCCAAGTGAAATCTCGCGAGTATAGGCTTCGCATGCGAGGGCACCGTTAACGCGAGCGCCCCTAACTGCCATAAAAAATCAGACTAAGAGTATGCATGTGGAGCATTCATTTTTACGACGACACGCCAATTAGCATAAGGCGCATTTGTTTCAGTTGCCGTTGGACCTGAGAACGAGCACGTAGCGCGCGTCGTCGCGCAAAAAACAAGAAAAGACGACGAGCAATGCGAACGTTCGCGGCGAGCCTATGCAATGTCATTCGTCAGCGGTACGTCGACAGCTTCGCAAGTTGGGACGAAGCGCGGCATCGAGGGGCCGCGCACGTAGCGAGCGCGCCGAGATACAGCGCTGTATTCAAGCTCGCGCGGTAATTGACCTGTTACACTCCAGGGAAATTCGGGGGGGCTTGCGCCGCCGCTGCCCGAGTTATCGATCGAACGGAACACCATACGGTGGCTTCTGTTCCACTTTTCACTTGGCCGTGCTCGCTTTCGTTACGCTTTTGGATGAACTCTTCCCTTTTCTTTCTATTTCCATGTTTGAGCTTTCTTTCTTCTCGTATTACAAAATATAACAGCTTAAATAATAATTAGAACGGACTCGGCGGATTTATTAAATATCATTCTCATTATATGTGTCAAGCAGATTATTATTACCGGTTTTTTATTTTATATTATTGTAAATTATGTATCCGAGCCGTAATATAGTAAATACATTAGCGAGCGATTGCAACATTCGCGCGACAGACGCGTCAACAATTTATACGAAAAAAAAAAGAAAATGAGATGGAAAGGCAGCAAGAGAGGTGGGTGCGGGTGATGATTCTGCATTGGTTTCACTTTGAATTGCTGATATTTCTCGAGGAATTTAGAGCAAAGTTCGATTGCACACAGAAATATTGATTCGTTTTGGTGATTTATAGATTTACGTTCGAAGTATCGCGAGATCAAGCGCCCTGTTCGAAAAACTGTGGTGCAAATGCTTCCAAGCGATCGCACCTGAGATTATTTCGAGGAAAAAATATGACTGATTAGGAGATTGAGTGGCAAACGATACAAAACATCTATTTTGAGTATCAATGATTCTGAAATATCGATCGAGTTTGTCGACATTTAGGGAAAAAAATGCTTCCAAGGACGTTCTCGAGAAAAAACGAGCAGAGAACTTGCAACACTATGAGTTTATAATCCCAAGAAAATTATAATAATCGTAGAGTTTAATTCTGTTTAATATACGGAACGGCAAATATAGGACGATACCTTCTTCCAACACGGTTGACATAAACTGAATGTTTCGAGCCTCTCTCAGCAATACGTATATTGCAAAATGACTTATCGTGAAAAAAATCAATCTCCTAGTGATTTATTCTTTCAAATCGATAAATCTATCGCGAATTTGTAAAACTGGTCGAATTTGTAAAAGAATGTCGCTTGGCAATCGTGCCAATGCTAAAATTGTTCCGATTCGACGTTAACGAAAATTGGCGAGCGCACGAGCAGGTGAGACAAGGAGAGCGCTCGCGATTGTTCGTCGTTTTGCAGTCGCGCGCGGGCGAGTTCGCGCGGCTGTGTGCACGTGCGTAGAGAGGAACGCGGGGGGCTGCAAAAGTGCCGACGAGCCAAAGCCGATAAGTCTTAGCGGCGCGATCGGTCTTCTGGCGAGCTAGTTGCCGCTAAGAAACGCCGGAGTGTGCTTGCGATCAAGGCTACTTTTGTCAAGCTGCGATCGGTGAGTTTGGCGGCGCATCGGTCACCGATAAAGGAGCAACGACAGCTTTTCCCGAACGTCACTGTTGCATTTCTTTTTCTACCGAAACGCGGCGTAGACAACTCTCGTTCGGGATAATTACGTACAGACGCTAAACGCCAATTCGTTGGAACTCGACGCGCTTTATCTTCGTCGGTCGCGATAATTGTCTAGAAGCCCATTTTTATTGCTACTGAAACAATTATTTTCTCGCGATTGATATTAATCGATGTAACAGGCAATTAAATAGATCAAGAATAATGGCCAGCATAGTTGAAGTGCCACGCGAAAACCTGACGGCTCAAGAAATCGGCCGTCGAAATGCCGTGCCAATCATATACGCCAGAGGTACTCACTACGAAATTGGATTTGATATCGTAAGTCGTCAAACTAAGCGATAAAGCTATAGTAATTTTTCTTGTATTTATCGTAAAACCAATAGATTCCTCGTTAGATGCCGTAATATGCATTCGAAATGTGTTCGTTGGACGTTTATTGCATTTAGCAAAACTAACATTACAATAATTTTGAAAGGAGTCACTTTAACGACGTGCTAAACAGTTATTAGTACGGACACTATAATTTCCAGCTAAGCACCTGCATATTACATTTTTTAATTAGAATTACACAACTACCATCATCGACGCTATTCATAAGAATATTATATCGGAACGTCACGACTTCAGATTATGAAGTCTTTATCATATCAACACCGACAATTGTAAAATCTTCTCTCTTACATAAATCACTCGGAGAAAATGACATTGAAAAGCCGACGCGTGCGCGCGCGTATCATGAAATTAGAATAGAATAGCAATTAGTAAATGATAGTCTCGGGTATCTTATCTTCTGCGATGCATCTTGCCTGTTATGAAAAAGAAATTTTAAGCTCGCGATCAGACGATGCGCATACATTGGAATTTATAAGTTGTGTCGGATGTTTCGCGATAGTGATTCTTTATTTTTTGCAAAACGAATTAATGTTACACGGTGCGTTGTTACGGGTAATCGCACGGATTGTGCTCGAGTATTAGCTAATATTGTAATTGCAATTGGAAATCATTTGGTATCTTGTTACGTGCACATCAATCTGATTTTATCGACGGTCATAACAATTTTTGGATAAAAAACGTTGTATCGTCGTCATTCGATCAATTGATTTTTTCCGCACACGCGAACTATTGCAAAATCTGCACCGTTCCACTTATATCGGCACTCCCTTCGACATGCACCTTCGAGCTTGTCAAATCTAATACATGTAGTGTAAAGCGATCGTAGTCTATGTGCATTTTCAACGTCACATTTCTTTCTCTTGCTATCTGAATAAATTATAACCGCTTCGCTGTAACTAGCGGCAAGCATACTTTTTCATCGATTAAAAATCACCACTGTAAACAATTACAAGCGATAAACATCAGCCGAGGAAAAAAATGCTTTGCTTATCCCGACAATCGAGAGAAGCGGTTAATGAGCAAAAGTTTGCGCTTTTTTTTTAATTTGCATTCGCCGCGCAGCAAGAAACGCAAGTTTGCCGCAATTGCAACCGTCGATAAATCAATATAAGGACAAGTAACTGCTGTATTATGTTAATTCGCTCCGATGTACGACTCTTGATAGCGTCCGCACTCGGCGGCACTTACAACTTTCGAAACGTATCTACTGGGCAAAGTTAAACGAACGTCGTTTGACTTCTAGGGCAGGACGTTCGCCAAGATCATTCGGGACTTTGTCGATCAGTACGGACCACTGAACGAAACCTATCTGGCACTTTACGAGACGCCGGATGGCAGAAGAGTTTACGACGAGACGCTTGCCTGTGTCGAGGAGCAGTTTCCGCAGTACTTGAGAGAAATCAGAGGTACTGCCGATGGATCCGGAGTGCCTTTTTACAAGGTAGATCTAATCTTTATTAAAATGTATTCGACTCATTAGAATAAACTTCACAGCGTGCTGGCTATTTTTTAAAAGTTGACTGATGTCGGTTTTTAATAATCAATAACAGTCGAGTAGCTCGGCGATCACAGATTTTATTACCGTGCAGTCAAGATGTTTACATGTAAGAACTTGCATTAGCAATCGCTTGTTTTTCAGTACGCGAAACATTGTTTTAATTGTGATCTAAAGTCATATGATCGAGATACACATTCAACGCTCGAGAACTTTGATCGGTAAAAACAAGCATGAGAAAAAGTTAACATTCCGTAAAAATGGCCGAAGAACAATAACCCTAGCGTCACTTGAAAAATCCACGCGCAGATGTCTTAAACGCTGCGCGCACGATGAGTCAATATTTGAAAACCACTCACTCGCGTGACTTGCAATTAAATAAAAAATTTATACATATCGATGCCGGTTTCCTCGATATAATGAAAAACTCGTTTTTTTTTCGCGGAAGCGCGCATAACGTAGCAGGATAAAAGTGAATTATGTGCGCAGCTATTTCTCATGCATCTCGACGACATCGTACCGAATGTGGCGGCGAATGGCGCAAGTGGAAATATCCAACCAGTCGGCTGCTCCACTGTGATTTGCAATCAGCCTGGACAGGTGACTAAATAATTGTATTTTCTTTCGGCGAAGCAAGTGCGTTTGCGTTGGATTCTCAGTACATGTGTCGCTCCATTGTTTCCAGATGTAATTTCGTTGATTGCGGAGAAATAGATTGGTGCTATTTTAGCGTCGCGGCAGAGCTTACTGCGGTCTAATTATCGTTGCGAGTGCACTCGTACAGGTTTTTGCTATTGCACGGAATTGTGCAGAGAGTTCATTATCGAGGATGACGAGCGAAAACAAAACTTCTGATCGTCTTCAGTGAGAATATCGTAACGTCGAATTGATTATTAGAGTCGAATAATTATGCGTAGAATGCGAGGATCGCAACTGATCGCGGCCAAAGATAAAATTGAATGTCACGGCTTCGGATCGCGTATTTAGCTGCGCATCGAGACGAATTACCGTAAAGCGTCATTCTCGAACATTCGTAGGAAATACTGGGTCACAACGAGGACGCCCTCAGCGAAACTCTGAATCACTGGTACTTGGTGGATGCCCACGTAACGGAGCCGGGCTACCCGGACGAGAAGTTCTGCTCGTTGAGCTACGCAGGCTTCTTGCCTGGTTACACCATGGGCTACAACCACCACGGCCTTGTCTATTCCATCAATACTCTCAGCGCTAAATCTCTGCGCTCGGGAAAAACGCGTAAGTTTATCCATGGGCAACCGGAAAATGTCTGTGACTTTCGCTGCAAGCTCGGCTTTCGTTCTTTAGCAAGGTACTTCATTACGCGATCGCTGCTGAGCGCGGAAAATTACGTGCAGGCGCAGATGATCTTGCGAAACGAAGGCTACGGCGCGGCCGAGGGATTCGCCGTGAACATGACGTTCCAGCAGGAGGGCGATCGTATGTTTCACAACGCCGAAATCGGGCCGGTCGAGAAGGGACAAGCTTATTCGCAACTGAGCATACAAACGGCCAGTCCGGGAGAATACTTTTATCATTGCAACAAGTAAGTACGCGAGTGAATCCCACAATGAAATGCACCTTTTGCCCACGCACAATCGCACAATTTTTTTCCAATCCTATGGCTTCCGGTTAAAGTCTTGTCTTGCCGTTTGGCACGTAACGTCAGCAATAGAGATCATTTCGCGGTGACTTTATTTTTTTTCATCCGTCGACAAAAATATTGTATACCGAGTAACTATTTAAACTGGTAACTTGAAAATTTGCTCATAACTGAATGGCAGGTTTTTTCGCTTGTAGTACTTTTCATACATGGCCGTCGCATTGCCTTAAAATACACGGTCCCATCCCACTCTACGTGAAAAATATATACGAAAACCTTATCGCAAATTGCGAAAATAATGTTAGGTTTGCCTCGTGATTTAAAGGAAGTAAAGTTGTACACTGTTAGCCGCTTGAACCATGGCGTACATGATATTTTTAATTGTTGAATATATTAAACAATACCAAAAATTATTTCCAAAGATGCGATACATTGTTTTCGATCTATTTTTGGAGTAGAATACACTTTGTTTATTTGCGATCTAAACGACAAGAAAAACTTATCCGGGAGCCGTAGGGCTGAAATAAAATTTTCGCAATTCTCTCTTTCTCTCTTTGGGACCCCAACAATTGCATTTCATTTTGGAATTTACTCATATAATGCAGACGCTTCTCACTTTCAGACTTTTCATAAGAATTTGATGGCTCTTATATTCACAGGTTTATTTTTAGTTTATATAAGAATCATTCTACCCATTATTTGAAATGAGTGGCTCGTAAAGTGCACAGATTAATGTTTATTTATTTAAAACAATAATTTTTATAAGTCTTATCGGCAATAAACCCTTTTAAGAATGAAAATCGCAAAAAATTATTCCATTTTGTCGAATTTACAAAATTCGTAATGAAAATAAAAAGATAATATTTTAATAATTTTAAAAATTCTAATTTTCTGTAAATGGTGTTTCAGTTAGTTTTACCTGTTATAATAACATCTTTGGCTTCAGTGATATTAAACGCATGAGAAATAAGAAGAAAATTAACTGTATATCAAATTTCCGCTTCAAATTGATGCATAATTCACTATGATTTCACTACTAATTTCCAAGGTTCAATTTTTGTTACGATAGAAGTTTGCTTCGGTTAATTATAACTTTTCAGAAAACTTATTCATCATAAACATAGAAGAAGTAATTTTATCCCACAGATAATTTCAATGTTCAAAATTGAATTCAGTACTCGATAAATTACCTCAAATAAACAAAAATGTACTATTTTTTAAATTTATTTGAAAAAAAATTTGTTTTATGAAAATGTCTATCGATAAAAATGCAGTAGATCTCATGAAAAGCTTTAAATCAGCTTTTCGTAAATTCGTCAAAATTACATATTAATTTTGCGAATAACGATATTGACTTTTTAATAGCAGGAACAGTTCGCCATTAAATAATTGAATTTCAAAATTTTCTAAATTCCAGATATATGCGGTTACCGGTGCCAGAAGTCGATGGTTTGATAATCGACAGTAGCATTCACAGGATGCAAGCGATATGTAGGCATTCACCACCAGAAAACCTTCAAGATTTAATCAACATACTGAGCGATCAAACGGATGACGATTTTCGCGTCTATCAAGAAATCCAACCAAGCGATTTCGTCAAGACCATTGCAACTGGTAAGTTAAAATGGTATACATTGGTGGTATTTTTATTTACAAGCTTCCTAACGTTTCAGGCATTTTCGATTGCGTAAGGAAAACTTGGTCAATTTATACGGATAAGCCAAACTGTACTAAGCCAATTGTAGTGCTTCCACTGAAGTTCAAGAATGACGACGCAGTGTGTTGGAATACATAAATGATAGGGTCACTACCTCACTCCAAAGATTATTATTATTCGTAAAATCTCACCAAAATGTATTAACATTGAAATTCATACCAATGCATCTGTCTTGCCTGATATACAAGTGTATTAATTATGAAAATATGTATTTCACTTTTCTTTTTTTTTTTTCTAAATAAAGTGCAGATAGCACATGCGTCAAAAATGAGTCATTTATTGCACGAATGACAACACTACTTCCTACATAAGGTCGTAATTTTTTTATTTTGCTACGGGCTCTAATCATCATTGTCTTTATGGCAAATGAAAAAAATTACTGGCAATCCTTGTTACAAGTGTATATATATAATCATGAGTTGCTTACTTGATATCGAATGTATCGAGAACAAAAGTGTTGCCACGTGATTGTTGTTCTCCTGAAGAGGTAATCGATACGAGATATACACATCTCTCAACCCGAATGTGTTGCGTATTAATAAATAACAAGTTCATTTTAAAGAATTAAACGAGCTCGATTCGGATGACACATTCCGTCGGATTAAAGTATCGAATAGACGCAAAGGCGCGGTTATTCTGACGCGACGCGGCGGTCACCAATTCCGTCGTAATCATTTTTTATCCTGTGATTCTCGCAAAATTGTCATATTGTGCGGAGAACGACCGTCATCTGCGTACAACATACTGCGCAACACGCGCAACTAATATACAACTTGCTGCATACTGTACTGTTTGCCACGGTCTTAACGACGTCGCTTGATTGGATTGCTCGATAGACGCGAAAATCGTCATCCATTTGATCGCTCAGTATGTCGATTAAATCTTGAAGGTTACCTGGCGGTGGATGCCTATACGTATTGCTTGCATTTTGCGAATGCTATGTCGATCATAAAACCATCGACTTTTAGTACTGGTAGCCCCATTTATTCGAAGTTCGGGAAATTTGAAAACGCAATTATTTAACGGTGCCGAACTTAATTTTGTCACTATTGACCTGTTTAGTTTAAATCGTTAAAAGAACTGAATCTTGAAAATCATATTTAAAAATATTACTAGTGAAATTGTTTATCTATTGGAATTTTTAAGATTTAGATGTACACTTAATTTCCTTTTTCTTCGTTCAAGCCAAAGTTATGTTAATAATTAAAAGTAGATAAAACTTCAATAACAAAATATAAAAATATTGAAAATTATCAAAATACATATATTTAACTCCTACTATTATTACGATTATGGCTATTATTTATAAGATGTGAATAAACAATTAATTATTATAGAAACTTATTTATGCATTTACGTTTACCTTGTATCCTATTTTTGAAGTCTGTTGTTCATGTACTGAAATACAAACAATTGTTAATTATAATTTTGACGTGTAACTTTATTGACCCCGCAGTTTAACAGTCTTCAAATTTATAATCGACGACATACTTAACTGTTAATGCAATTATTAAATAACAATATGAATCGAATGGAAAAGCTCGCACGCCTTGTTATGGATTCTAATTACTCTGAATGACGCTGTTAGCTAATATTAGAAACAAATATTCACATGATCAGCGGAAAATGTTTAATAAAGATTAAATGTACTTTGTAAAAAAGTACGTAAAGATCCCTCGACAGTGCTCTTAATTTCTTTCTCATGCACTGCGGAAACTGCCCCTCCATATAAGCAAGCGTCTCCTCGAAAACTTTCCTACTTTTCAGCGCCTGATAGAGTTACAATAAGTAAGTCTCGTTCATACTGGTCGATGAAGTCTCGAACGATTTTGGCGAACGTCCTGCCCTAGAAGTCACACGATGATTGTTTAACTTTGCCCAGTTACATACGCCTTGAAGACCATCGAGAGTCGTGAATCGAAACGAATTAACATAATTCAGCAGCTGCTAGTTCTTATATCGATGTATTGACTGTCACCATTGCCGCAAGCTTGCATTATTTACTGCGTATCCAGTAGAAATAAAAAGAAAAACTGCTGACTTTTGCTCGTTAACTGCTTTTCTCGTTTGTCGAGATAAGCAAGGCATTTTCTCCTAGAGTGATGTTTATCGTTTGAAAATTTTCACAGTTACGCTTGTTACACAACGGCAAGGAATACAGATTTACTACCACTTATAGCGAGGCGGGTTTCCTTTATCGAAAGTGAGAGAGAAAGAGAGAGAAAAAGCGACAATTAAAATTACACGGATCACTTGCAGTGCATATATCGGATTCGACAAACTCGAAGGTGCATGTCGAAAGGAGTGGCGATATCATTGGAACAATGCAGATTATGCAATAGTTTGTATGTGTGAAAAAAACAATTGATCGAATGACGATGATGCAACGTTTTTATCCAAAAATCATTGTATAGCCGTTCCAAATCGTTATAGCCGTCGATCAAGTTCGATTGATGTGTACGTAACAATATACAAAATGATTTTCAGTGATTTAAATTAACAATAGTAATTATAAGATTAAGCTATGTTATGGGTTCAGGAAAATCCGCGCGATGATGCAAAAGAACTATCCGCATAACGTAGGAAAGATTTTTTAAATTTTAATTGACAATAATATTCCAATATCAGGCTACATTTGTTTTTAAAATAACAACTGAACTAATCAACTGTGGTTCGTTGTTGTGCCATTTTCGATTTGTTTGATCGTACGTGTCATAACTCTTTGACATGTACAGACTAACTGATTCACGAGTCTCTTTCCAATATTCCAACTTTAGCCCGGATATTTATACTTGTACTTCCCTGCCTCGTCCTCGTAGATCAATACATTTAATACTGCTAGTTAGTATGCGTTCTGACCACAGTGTTATTTGATCACGAGTAAAGCGAGTGCGCTCCAAATCGGAAGAATGGAGTAACGATACGCAGCATAGAAAGCCCATTGTAGTGCTTCCACTCAAGTTCAAAAACGACGAACCAGTATACTGGAATCATTGGCAGTGCTGATGTTTCATTACAAAGATTATTTTTGTTCGTGAAGTTTAAAAAAATGTATTATCAGTGAAATCTGTAGACCTATGCACATGTGTTTAATAATTCAATTTTCTTTTTTATTCGAATTGAAGTGCACGTTAGGTTGCACGTGTACAGAAACAAACAGTTGTTTATTACACGGATGGCAAAACTATTTTCTAATCCTAGGCCGTAATTTTAACGAGATGACCTATTAAAAACAAAATTTTTGCGACAAGTTCGGCAAGTACTGGACCAAGTTTCGCGAAGTGAGGAAAATAAAAGTCTCATGCGTGAAAGCCGTAATTGTCACTTAACTTTGACCTTGCCAAAATTTATCGAGCACATTTCACTTTGTGCTCGTTACCACACATACGCGCGCATTTAAGATGTGGAACGAGATAAGAAAAATACGAACAGTGAAGAGTGGAAGTAATAACGACGCTGATCTCGACGCGGTTTCGAGCTTCAAGTCAGTAATGCATGGGTCGAGAATGACGAGAGACACACTTTCCCGCTGCACGTTTATCTGCTATTCATCGGTTTTAAGCCAACGAAATTATCAATTTGCGCTCTCATTAAATAGTAACTATGACAACGATAAAGCAAGAGCTACAAAGAGAACAGGATAAAGCTCGAAGAAATGTCGTGCCAGTTATATACACGAGAGGCACCCACTACGAGATTGGATTTGACGTTGTGAGTTGGCGCAAGCAATCGGCAAGATTTTTCATGAATTTTGTAAATAATGATCGACTCGTTATCGAAGGGAAAAACGTTTGCGGAGATGATCCGCGAACATGTTGATCATTATTGGCCATTGAATGAAACTTACATGATCCTGTACGAAACTCAAGAAGGCAAAGGGATTTACGATGAGACGCTTGCCTGCGTTGAAAAACAATATTCGCAATATGTTCGCGAGATTCGGGGTACCGCCGATGGATCTGGCGTACCTTTCCACAAGGTAAATTTTATGGTTTATATACTTTGATGTATGTGTTGTCGAATCACCAGAAAATAATTCAAAAAATCCAACAAGAAAAGACATTTTCATATCTGATACTTCAAAATGAATATTTTCTTGTGGAAATAGTCACGTGTACTGCACATATTTATTATTATGGCGATCTCCAAAATGAGTTCTTTGTAGCTGTTTTTAATGCATCTGGATGATATCATAACGATTGCGGCGTCGAAAGACGCTCAAAGAAGCCTAGAACCAGTAGGCTGTTCGGCGGTCGTCTGCAATCAACCGGGACAGGTAATACTGTTGTCCCTGTTCGATATTGACTTCGAGTGGAAGTTCGATCCAGCACCGATAACTTTCAGGAAATATTGGGTCACAACGAGGACGCTCTGAGCGAAACTTTGAGTCGCTGGTACCTTATTGACGCGCACATTAACGAACCGAATTTGCCCGAGGAGAAGTTCTGCTCGCTGAGTTATGCTGGGTTTTTGCCTGGTTACACAATGGGCTACAACCAGCACGGCCTCGTCTTCTCCGTCAATACACTCTACGCGTCGACTCTTCGAACCGGAAAGACTCGTAAATGCCTCTAAGCAATTTCGAAAAGTTCGTGGATGTGCGCCCGCGCGCGTCAAAATTTTTCTTTCCATTCAGCGCGATACTTCTTGGCGCGCGCTTTACTTGGCGCCGAAACCTACACGCAACTCGAGGCAATTTTGCGGAACGACGGCCACGGCGCTGCCGAGGGTTTTTCCGTAAACCTGAGCTTTCATCAAGAGGTGCCTCGAACGTTTCGTAATATCGAGGTGGCCCCGGCGGAGCTGGGTCAAAGCTCCTCGAAAATCAGCACCGTCACGGCTAACCCTGGGGAGTACTTCTACCATTGCAACAAGCGAGTATAAACAGTGATATATTTGTAACGGTGAGCAAGATTTATGATACGCTTTATAGGTACCTGCAGATGTTGATTGACGAGAATCCACGGGCAATACGAAGTAGCATTCATCGAGGAAAAGCGATAGAAAAACATTCGCCGCCGGAAACGCTTCGAGATGTCGTTGAAATTCTTAGCGATCAGAGTGATGAGGAGCTACCTGTGTACCGAGAGCTTGGCGAAAGATCGAAGACCATTTGCACGGGTAAAACTCTGTACATAGTATTGAATGAAATTACATTCAGTTATATATTGCTTTTTGTGATGGCGGTTTTGTTTTAGGAGTTTTCGACTTACTCAAGAAAACATGGGCTATATATATTGATAAACCCGATCGTACGGCGCCTGTCATTGTATTACCTATGTTCTTCAAAAATGATGAGTAATCTGGGAAAATAAATTCGACAAAATGTATAAATGTATTAAATGTTATATTAAATTAAATTTAAATAAAAAATGCTCCAACAATACACGAGAATCAAAAACACATCATTAGGCACAGAAGTAACATAGGAAAAAGAGGAATGATTGTACGTTATGATCGAAAATTCGAAGTAAGATACACGACATATTAGAATTTAAGAGTCATATATTTGTTTGAAATCTCATTGAAGATGAAGCATTTTTCCGCCGATTTTAATATTTTTTGCCTTTCTAAATTTCGGAAAACGATCCGAAGAGGACTGAGAAATAATGCATTTGTTAAAAAATGTTTAATAAAAAAATGACTCCGGCGCCTGGCCATTAAAAGAAACAGAATAACTCATAAAGAGCTTTGCAATTGTTGTTCAAAGTTGCAGAAAACAATAATGTCATAAGAATAAATTGTTTCCAATATTTGACCATTTTGATTTAAATAAAAGTCCGTAAAATATGTTGATTTTTAATTTTTTTTATGTTTAAGGATATATAAATTATCAGTGAATATCTATACATAAAAAATAAAAATAGCATAAGTTTCAAGTAGCTAAAATAATATAATAATGAGTCCGGATAAGCGTAACTTGGTTGATAATTGTCTGCCACAGGAAGCTACGCGTAAACCAAACAAATGAGAGTATGAGGAAATTCAGTATACAAAATATAAAACGAATGTTTCAATTTCAATTATTCTATCAAATCTGATAGTTTTCTTTATTTTGATACATTGGTCACACAGTAACATTTCAATGCTGACTCAAAGTTTATGATTCAGGGTATATGATACTGAGAAGAAGAGCTCTATAAATAACGAAACGTTGTTATTCGCTGACTTTCATTAGGAATGTCTGTTTTATATTACGATATGTTCTTTTTTAGTATTATGAATATGAATATCACGAGTTAATTTGGTGACACTTAGAGTTAGGTTCAGGTTCATGATCTGCGATATTACATTCGCATTTAGATAATCGTAAATATGATGTCCTATTGCTTGGACGATGTGCGTATGCAATTTTTGTGCATATTTTGTGCGATCGAAAGTAGGCCAAGACATGCCGGAAATCCAGCAAACATTTCAAACATAAATCCACAATAGAAACTTCTATGGTCCTCTGAAGATACGTCACCCGCTGCGCTCAGCACTGTTTTTAGGGAACATTAAATCTTCTTGTTGCAATCCGTTCAATCAAATTATATCAATTACAGTAGAGAAATCTGGAAGAGGAAACTGACTGTCAATGGATTGACATCGTTATTTATTGTCAGCATATTCTGACTCTCCGTTTCTTTGATTACATTCCCATGTAATTAATTAAATTTTGTTCTCGTATGAAAACTACGAATATTCTGAGTGATCTTCAAGTAATCCAATCAGGTGGAGTTAGCTCATCAACCCTTCGGTTTAAAAATGTTATTAGATTTGATATTTGAGTTACTGTTTCTTCTATTTTTTGATTGTGAATCGCAGCAATATTGGGCATTTTTTTTTCAAGTGCTGTAATCTGAAATGAAAATTTATTATTGATGTATTGTGCTAGTGTTATATAACTGCAATATATAAGCAAATACTGTTAATAAGTATGCGAACGCATACACGCGGTCGCGTTCGCACGCACACTTACGTACGAATGTATGAGTGATTCTTCTATAACATAAACAGATAGCTATAAAATTTTATTTTCATTGACTAATTTCTTCAGACTTTTCACCATTTTTCCATTTAAAATTACATTACGAAAACAAGCGTTCACGTTGAGTTCACGTGAAATTATGTTAAACTTTTTTATAACATATAGGTAGCCGATGACCTTCAATAAATAAGGAAATGAACATTTGTAAATAAAAAGTTTTCTTTTATCAATTATCTTGTATCAACTAGATTTTATAATTAATTTTTTTAATTTAAGTAAAGATCTACTCGTAGAACATAATAGTCAAAGAATGTTAAGATGCAAATTAAAAGTCTTTTCGTCCGTTGATCCGAAATTACATATTTCTAACTACTTCATATATTCATTCTAATGCAGTCACATACTTTCAAAATCGTCATTCTCTACTTAGTACTATATTACCTATTATGGGTTTATTCAAACCATTGAAATTGTTACATACAATGTTAGATTGTTCTGGTAGGGACTTTCTACATAAAAGCCATCGAACATCGGACATCGGACGCCAGACGTGCACGAAGGTGTAAAAATGGATTAATTATTTTACACTAACTCGTAAAATAACAATAAATTTTGCATATAGTTTTTTTTAGACTACACACAAATCTTTGGTAAGATCAATTTTTTTTACCTCAGTATTCGTCCAACATCTGATGTCCGAAGGCTGTTATGTAGAAAGTCTTTAAGCTATCGAAAGAAGGCAAATGAATAACTGAGCAAATTACTAATTAATACGATGCTCTGTTTAATTGACGATTGAACTACTGATGATAATTAAATCTATGAAGCTTATTATGGAAGATACAATATACATATATAATAAATTTTATCGATACAAAGTTGTAGGAAATTGGTTGCACTACAGGTAACTCGTGATACTCTATAAGAATACAGTTGTGTTATTGATTTTAAAGTCAACAGACCTAATCCAAAAATAGATATTAGGCAAGCCTTTTCCTACTTAAATGTTAATTTTAATATGTTTAACCGTCTGTAAAAAAGTTGATTTCACGTTTTCGACTTGACTTGCGTTTAACTTTAGAATAAGAAAAGTGATTTTCCGACACTCCGTGCGCAAAGTGAGTTTTTTTTCGCAAACTCGGTAGAAAAAGTACGTTGAAAATCGCACTTTCCACACGTTGCATCAAAAAATACGGGATGGCATATGTTCGTGAAAGAGTTTCTCGTCTCGTGTACCTTTCCATCCTCGCTTCGCTCGGGCATAAACGCCAGACGAGACAAGAATCTACTTTCCCGCACTTGTATTGTAATGTATTATTTTTAACAACTTAATACCAAGTTTTCCCCAAGCCTAGGCATCTGATATTTTTACCTTTCTCCACTATCAATCAACAATCTGTTAACAGTTATTTACTAATATGTAGTAGATAATAAGTATCTCAATACCGATATAATTAAAAGAACTGTGACAAATATGTTAAGCGTGAATTTTAATTAACGTTTATAAAAAACTTCTTACGAAATTATTCATTAACATTTATTAAAATAAATTGAATTGGTAGAGAAGTTATTATAAATTTTGAAATCGCACGTTATCTTGTGGAAAATCAGCTGATACTTGTCTTCACTTTTGACTAACAAATCTCTTCACGCTTAATTTTTCTTAATGATATTTCGATAATCACTTCATGCTTATTTTTCTCAATAATATTTCGATAATGAATATTGATTGATGAGTTCTTCTATTGATTCACAATTATAGTTTGTACATACATGAATATAATTACATTATCTTCAAAATATACTTTTAACCTCAAAACTTAAATCAGAGGGTTCATCAACTTGATGAGTAGGAATAAAACAATAAACTTTTCCATTTTTTAACTAAAAACCACGTGAAAAACAATATAAAAAAAACTCTCTTAATACAAATATTACGAAAGATGTATAAAAAATAATATATTAGTATTTCTGCATTGTATTAATCATTCTAGATTCTATTTTGTTCTCTATTCGATAATTTTTTGTTTTTTTAATTGCTTACTTACACGTTTTTCAAGCTCAATTATTTTTGATTTGATTGCTTCGACATAATCTAATGAAATCGTTCTTTTATCCGGTTGACCTATAATTATAATTATTAACGTAGATTTAATGCGAAAATGAATATAGTATAACTTTCACTTATTTTTTAAAACTAAGTAAATATAGGCACTTACAAAATTGATGAATATTAACAATCTCAATAATAAAAGGCCTATAAAAGATAATTCCATTACTAATCGCGATATGTATAAATATACTACTTTTATTTCAATACTTATAATATTACTTGTCCTTTGTACAGCCTTGCAGAAGAAAAGAATACGGAATCAAAGTATTATCATATTTTCTAAGTTTAATAATTTTTGAGTTATTGTCTTCAATTTTTTCCTTAGAAAATACAATTGATTTCAATTCTTCAAATGTTGAATGTGGAGGTAGTAATGTTTTCTGAACACTCATACTCTCATAATTAATATTACTAAGTCCTGAAAAGTGATTTCGATAAATTTATAAGTAACAAGTGCTCCGGTGAATTCGTTTCTCATGCAAAAAATGCAGCTTAAAAAATTATAAAATACGAATAAAAATTTCGAAAGTACTTCAATCTTTTGGTTACACAAATACTAAATAGAGAAAAATTACTAGGTCATTTGGCCTCAAATCATATGAATCTAAAAACACTGAAAAATTAAGCAAAATATATTTTTTTAATCTTACCGTGTATATCAGTACGTTGGATCACAAACCATAAATCTTTATTAATATCGCTCATTTTGTTATTATTCCATTCCAACCTTCAAAGCTTCAAATCATTTGCTTGTACTTTTGGTTCTACTTTACTCCTTAAAACAATTGCTACCTTGACCATTTTCGACTTTTTTTAGTCTGTCTATAATCATATAGAGTTGGTCAGTCATTATTCGATTATTCAACCGTATTTCCTATTTTTTTTTTCTTTTTCTTTTCGTCGATGATCGGAGCCCAGACCTTTTACGCGTCAGATGGCGCCAACTTGGTCTTCCTTGTTCGGTGCCACTTATTAAATTTATTGATACTGTGACTGCAAATACGCGGTTTCCTTATCAAGTTGGCGCTATGTTTTGTCTTTGGATCTTGAGTTTCTGTTTGATTTGAGGTTTGTTGATGAAATAACAGTATCTCGTTTGGTCCAATGGTCTTCGTAACCTCACGGTTCCAGCAAGAAACGAGCTCCATAGTGAGCAGTAGGTCACGGATAGGAAGTATTGACACGCTTACTTCTATAAATTGTACTTTATTAGGCCCAGGACGTTACTGAAGCTTTCGACGCATCTGCAAGCGATAGGTCGGGACAGGATAGGAGGAGGATCCATGGACCAGCCCAGCTAGGAGAGGACTTTCACCAAAGAGTGCTTTGCGGCTGCGTGTTGCTCGCACCCCCCCCCCCCTCCATAACAAGCGCGGATTGTACGTATACGCATCACATTCAGCCACAGGTTCTTTACGAGAATAATTGTTGAGTAGTTTTTCTAATTGATAATCTAATACTTACGTTCGTTGTGATGACGCCAAACGACTAACGTTCGTTATTAGTTAGTAATTTTGAAAAATTTTCTAGCGACTCTGTAGCTCCGTTGGAAGGACGAGCCAATTTTTACTATTTCATGTTATTCATTTTTATCTTCAAAATCAAGTAATATATGTAATATCAGCGTGACAAGTAATTTTTAAAGAATCAGTTGAGAATAATTTGATTTCAAAAAGAGAGACAACATTGATTCGAGCAAATAAACTAATTTGTTATTTCAGTAATTTTAAATCGAGATTAAAGAATTGTATTCTTCAAATATTAGCAAGTAATCAAATATTTTATTTATCAAATTTGTATTTTAATAAGCCTTGATTTTGAATAACTATTATTTTTTATAAACCGCAGAAAATGTTAGGATACAGCGAAGACGCCTTGTTTGTGACTTAATATTAGAGGTTTTCTATCATGAAAGAGATATCGAACGGCGGACAACGTACATCGGCTGTGGACTGAAATTATCGAGATAAAAAAACTAATATTACTACTTAATATCTTAAGTTAAATTGCGCAGGATGTGAATAACGATAAGATAAATCTGCTGTATTATCATTATTAGTACAATATTAAATAATTTAATTATTTTGTTTCATTATAATACACGTTTGACGCCTCACGTCCAATATCTCCTTATACAGAAAATTTCTTATTCTAAAAATCTTCAATCAAATAAAACTTGCAATATTTCCAATATCTACGTTTCTTGCTACCATAGAATTTAACTTTATAAAACGTACAGGAAAATCTTTTCAACATAGCATATTGTTTCAAAGATGCTTGGCGCATGACTATGTGTGACTCGAGATGACTTTGCAAAATGATTATTACGGTTTCATCATAAACTCAAATTTTCACCAAAAAGTACTTCAAACAATCTCATTGGAAAATTTTATCGTTTCAACGAGTGAATACATGTAACTATCGTAAAAATGGTATTTTTGACAAGTAGCGTGAACTTCTATAATTTAGTCAATACTGAATGAAATGATCACAGTATTATTACTACAGTTACTGTAAATTTCATTCACCAATCTTGAAGTCTTATTGAAAAATTTATTATTAATATTTATGGTCCTATAAAAAAGAAAAACGAAAATTTTTTTAAAGAATTTCCGTAACGATGAAGAGACAACAGTAAATATTTGTTATAAAAAAAAGATACATTTATTTATAACACATTGATTATGCGATTATGACTTAATCCGTGAAAAAATACCAAAAAGACAGTATAAGAAGAAATAAATACTTTTCTTTTTACGAATTTGACGAATAATAAAAATCCACGAGACTAGATGTCTACCATTGAACACTGAACTTCATTCAATCAATTTTGCTTCCTTTAAATTACGCAATAATACAAATACTATCGTCGATTTAACAGCTGCTAAAATACCGTTTGTAAATATCTAATCCAAAATAAAAAGTAAAAAAAATATTTTGCGATTGTTACACAATTCTTTTAACGACAGAACGTCGGAACCACGACTTTTTGGCGTTTTTGAGATTTCATTCCAGAGAAAAATTCTTTGATATCCTCTTCGCGCACGACTTTCTTGTTTTCTGCAAATTTCTGCAGATATTGCTTAAGATTCTCCTTCATCTTGTTGTACTCTTCAATAGCATTTATTTGCTCAACATGACCAAGTGAAGCGAGTGCCCGCATTCCTTGCTCGTACCGAGATTCTCCTTTGCTTGCTTTTCCAGCTTCTTCATACGCTTGCACGCTGTCCAAAGGATCGAGAAGATAAGACAGCTCATGTTCTTCATACGTCTGCAAATTTTTCAATTAAAATTGATCTTTTATGAGGAAATATATTACGTGAAGTTTCATAAATACCTTTTTACACTTATCACAGATACACAGAGAACAACGCCATCCTTCTGTCCAGAAAATACTTCCTTCTTTCTTAAGAAATTCTTCAACTGGGAGAATACATTCTTTCTCATCTTTTGTTTCGTCAACATCAACTTTTTCTTCTGAGCTTGTTTGAGATTTCTTGGTCTTAGAAACTGCAAAAAATTATGTTGAAATTTAATACAAATTTAAAAGATACTAATAAGATATTAAGTAACTTACTAGAATACTTAGTAGCATATCTCCACAAAAAGTCATGAGACTTCATGCAACCGGCACAAATCATTTCACTATAATCATTATCTTTTGGAAGATCATCACCATTTCCTAGATGCTATTAAATTAATACAGACACATTATTAACAAGAATCAAAGTATTATTAGTTAAAAAATATTAAAAAATAACATCTCAATTTACCTGTGTATGATACCAATCTTCACAAATAGTACATTGAATCATTTCATCACTTTCAGTAGCTTCTGGATCTGGGTATGGTCTAGCACAGGTACAATATACTCCATCATAGTTCTGATTATACTTATTTTCAGAATTCTCTGCTTCCTTTGACTTTAGCATAAAAAATTTTGATGAAATAACTCCTCTGTTTTGACAATAATGTTATAAAAGTTCTTAAAGCCTTACCGTCTCAAGACTACAAGCCTTGTCTCCGAACTTTGTATTTCCACAATCACATCTTGTGTGTCTCTTGGTATAGAGTTCAACCAGATCATGTCCTTCATGGCAGTGTAGAGAACAAGCGAGGCAAATAGCAGCTCTTGTACCAATATTGCAACAAGTTTTACAAGCATACAAAGCTTGTCTGATATATCCCTGGAAAAAAATATAAAATCAAGAAAATGATAGCAAAATTGTTAAGTCTATGTAGCAGAAATTTATGTGCAGTTGATGTGTTCTTGTTAAAAGATTATTTTTGTTGATTCCAGATGTATTTACTGGTAGGAAGGTATCAAGTGAAATGTTTGATGTGAATATTTACATGATTATTATGAACAAATTATTAGACAATATTAAAGAGAACTAGAAGATAGAATGTAAATAGAAGAAACATAAAAATTGAAGCCATAGTATATGTGAACAGATACAATCCCATGCAAAAAGTTCGAAAGTCGATTATATGTCAACGCGAACATGAATTTTCCGAATCCTCAAATAATAATACCGAATTTCCGAGGAGAATTTATCACACCAATAAATTAATCTAACAACGCAATCGAGTAGAATTAATATAGTTAAACCGTAATGAATCGCAATAGATACCTTTGAAAAAAAATCCGCTATAAAAACATTTTTGAAAGAAATTTTAAGATTGGCAAAGGAAATCTTCGTACTTTAAAGAAATAAACGGAAAAACCATTACAGGTTATGTGAAAGTCATTCATACCTTGTTATAAGTGCAGTTTTGGTCATCGGAAGCTCCAAGAACAGCATTACAATCTTCCTCGAGAGCATTCTCTTGTTGGAGCACATCGAGCATTGTCACGGAGTTTTCCTCATCTTCCTCCAATAAACTGCCTGTTGGCTTCTCGTCACTCGTCGATTGCTCGGCCATTTCTCTTTGTTCTCAAGTGAAAAGCTTGTTGTGATTATTAGAGCTAAGCAATGCAATACGATCAACGTTAATTTATCTTTACGATGAGCGGACTTTTAACGGAAATCTCGATTGCGAACTCAGATAAAAACGGTGAATTTTGCACGGTACGCAGGACGCTGCCTGTCAACTCACCGCCAAATGGTCGATTTTCGTTGGATATCGTTCCCGGTTCCCGCGAACTTTTGCTGCATTGCCAATTCTCCTCGCAATGTAGCAGCACCATCGCGCGGAGCAAACGATTTATACGTGCCGCGTAGTTTTAATATTTTTTATTTTACTTATTCTTTTTATTTATATGATTGAATACTAATAATGAAATTTTCCTTTAACGTTACATTTATAAATATTTTAAAAACTGACAAATGACATTTATATTCTTTGTTTATGTCTTTTTGAAGCGATAGATATTTCATGTATATAAAAAATGATTATGGCATTTAATTGACGCTGCAGCAGGTTTAATAAAACAAGATAATAAAAAATATCTGACTTTATTTCATCAAACGTTTCATTCTTAATGTGACACAAGATATCCGCAACTGCTTTCGAACAAACCATTTACAAACATATCTATTTGAAACATCTGACATAAATATGAGCAGCAAGAAAAAAGAGAAGTGTGAAAACTCATATCCCTTTTAATTAAAAATTATTCATGAATGACATGGAATGGAATATATATATATATATATATATATATATATATATATATATATATATATATATATATATATATATATATAGTAAGAGGAGTAGGTGTTTCGATTTACAAAATTCTTTTTAAATAAGTCTTGTATGTACACATAAAATATTCGATAGACTCGCATCTTGTTTAATTAGCTAAGGACTGAGACTTTAGTGTAGTAACTATTGCGATGATCTCGATGTGATTTCGAACAGTGCGCTCTTCGCTCCGTGAACGCTACCATTCTTGACGAGGAGATTATAGCACCTTTTGAGATCTGCAAGTCAAATATTAATATTTTACTAACTTTCATTCACATCGTTAGTTATTATCGTTTTGGATTTCATAAGTAATCTACCTCAAACCACGTGGAAGCCAAGGAAACTTCAGCAGTTGCTCGATCTTCGCTCCTCAAGCAAAGCAGTCTGCTAAGTAAATCCTTGGCTTCGTTTGATATCGTCTCGAAGTATTCATCGGGGAAACAAAAATCACATTTCAATATGTTTGTCGTCGTCTCTTCGACCGAGTCATCCAAGAAAGGAGAAAGACCACTAAAAAGTAGAAATTCACAACATATTACGCACATTATTTCCTAGAAATTATATTAAAATATTAGCTGGTCACCTTACCTAAGTAAGACATAGATAAAAACTCCAGCAGCCCACATGTCAGTGAAAGGACCACCGGGTCTGCCGAGAACGGATTCTGGTGCAGCAAACTCCAAATCCGCCGGAGGTACAACTTCTTCGACGGGGCCTCGTACTGCTTCTCCAAGATCAATGAGTTTGACTATACCCGTGTCTTGATCGACCAAAACATTCTCGGGCTTGAGATCGAGGTGAGCTTTGCTACGCTGATGCAGCCATTGAAGAGCCGACAGCAGTTGATTGGCAAACTTACTCGCTGCGCTTTCCGTGTACTCGGTTTTTTTACTCAGATAAGAGAACAAGGTCGGGCCTCGCACTCTGAAATACATTGACAGGAGTATTTTGTAAGTATTTCGTTTCTTTGACTTTCTGAGAAACAAAACTGAGAAACGCAGGAATAATACTCACAGCTCCAGCACAATAGTGTCGACACCAAGTTGCGGTGCATTCTCGAACAGTGCGAAAGCTCTGACGATATTTCCATGATGCGTCGAGGCCAACAGATCGTACTCAGCCCTGGTCAAACTTCTCGACTGCTTCTGCCTGGGTGTTTGCTTCAAAGCCACCTCTTGCCCGGTACCCCGGTCCCTCGCTCGTCTCACAACGGCGAACCTTCCTTTGCCGATCTCGTCGAGTTCGAGGTACCTCGCGACAAACTGTTCGGCCTCCCAGGCAGTGCCGTCGCCCAACGGCAAATTGACGACAGGCGAGGCGGACGTTAAGCTGCCATTTTTGCCTACCGCGCGAAAACTGTAACTGGCACCTGGCAGCAGCTCGAGAATCACAGGAGGGCCGTCCACGTCCTCGATCGCCATCGTCCAGTTCGTCGAGGGCATTGAGCGGTACTCGACGTCACAGCGGCCCACTTCGTGGCCTTCCCAGTCGACCTCGATGCGCGTGGAGTCAAGCACTCGAGCCCATGTCGTGCCTGTGCCACCTGTCGGTAAGGTAACGGTTTTGCGAAAAAAACTTGCTAAGGGATCGCCCCGTCGACGGCGTATGTTCGAAGACTCACCGGTGACAGTGAGGTAGATCCTCGCCGAGCACGAGCCATTTTCGCACTGGACGTTGCAGCAGTAGGCCCCGGCATCGGCAGGAATGCACCTTGTGATTTCCAGATAGAAAAAGCCAGCGCTGTGTCGTAACCTGTGCCTCTCGTTCTCCAGGATATCTCTGTCGTGGCCCTCCCGGCGCCAAGTCACTACTGCATTTTCGGCCTGGAATCGCGGAACAACGGGTCAGACACACCGAGTGCCAAGCAGCCCCTTCGAGCTCGTCTCGTACCTGGGCGACTTGGACGGCAAGTCGAGCGATTTCACCGGAGTTCGCTTTGATCGGGGTAGGCGCACTGCTGATGTACGGTGGCGCGAGGCACTTGGTGCTTCCCGAGTTCGTCTCACTGTTGGCGTTGAGCTTTCTCGGACGGAACGACCACGCGCGACTCACCGACGAATTAGGTATGAGGCTCGCGGGTATCCAGTGCTCTTGCTTGGCGTTGTCCGCGTGCGTTACCACCAAACCGTTGCCTTCCAAGCGACGCACTATCAGCTCGTCGCCTGCGCGCAACGCGCCCCAGTCGGCTGCCAAACGTACTCGTGCGCCCGGTGCTACCTGTGTAATCGTGGAATGTTGACTTTTAGAATCGTAGCTGTGAGATGCCTCTTGTGGCTGCGGGCTCTCCGATGACTTTTTTTCTTTGTCGTCAATTTTCTATACGATACTTACCACAGAACTTTCATTAAAAATGGAAAATTAAATCATCAAAATATAGTTTCGCATTGAATTCAAACATATTTTCGTGGGCATCTGCTATTTTTATGAATGAAAAGTCAACTATCCGTTAATGATGAATTAAGAATGTCAATTTAAGAAAAGCATTTTTTTAAATTTTAGAGTAACCTTTGAAAAATACCTCTAGACTATTCGTACATTCAAACATATTTCCTCCAAGTTAAATCTTCGTGACAAAATCCGCAAGAAAAAAATAATGAATGTTACGAATCGTCTTGAACGAAAAACGCAAACTAGTAATAAGATAAAAAACAAATCCTCAAAAGCAAACCACACTGTTAGGTCATTTAGTATTCAATATTTTAAGTAGTATATAAAAAGAAAAAGAAAGACAAAAAATGAACCGGGGCAAGGAGCAGAAAAGTTCAATGCAAAAATGCAATTCGCATTCTCACCGGTTGTCGGTTAGTTCGGTGGTCACGAGAGATAGTTTTGTCCTCCATACAGTCAAAGTGAACATGCTTGCTCCAGTTTCATGCTGCCAAAGTATATATCATGCTTCGAAAGAGTCCAGAATCATCCAGCACCGCTCGCATTTTTTTTATTATCTCATCGAGATCATTTTTCATAACGCAATCTTACAAAAATAGAGGCTAATAATACTATTTGCAATTGAAATGTTCAGTAGTTCCAAGTAGTAGTAGTAATAGTAGTTCCTAGTAGTAGCAGTAGCAGTAGTAGAAGTAGTAGTAGTAGTAGTAGTAGTAGTAGTAGTAATAGTAGTAGTAGTAGTAGTAGTAGTAGTGACAGGCAGAGTAGTTACAGTTTGTAATATAGCATAGTTGCACGTTTTGTAGAGACGTAGTTTGCTGAGGAATGGCTTTTGAACAAAAGCACTGGTTTGAGAAAATCATGCTTACAATAATTCTAATTGTGTTTTGTTCGTCAATTGAATTACGATGGCTCTAATTCTCAAACCAGTAGCCAAAATTGTTGCCACGCAGATAGATGAATCTCAGTTCAGTAGTGGAAAAACAGAAGGTTTTCCGTATATCCTCCGACACATATAGACTCGTCGCTCCCATTTTTTAAAAAGAAATATCGAAAAGTCCTTGCGCGTACTTTTTCGTTTTGGTTTGGCGGAAGTGGAGTAAAAACGATAGAGAATTGATATAAATATCTTGTTTTCAGTCCTCCACCAGCATCGTAAAAACTATTATAAGCGAGGTATTGTGCGTCGTCGCCGTTAAACCCAAAAGTACGTGGACTTATCGCTGCCGCGACAGAAGGCAAGGCAATAGAGAGCGGTTACGGACAAACATCAAGAGAAAAACGAAGAAGCTGATGTCGTGTCTCTCGGCTGCAATTAAGAATTTTTTGTTTCTTTTCATCATAATCGAAACTTTGAAAATGTTAAATTTGTTTAGCTTTTTCAGGATAATTTCTCTGAAAAATGGACTCTTGTTAATCATGCGATCTCGTTGTTGCTGATTGCGAGCATCACAGGAGGGATCTGAGTTTTGCATAGTTTCTTTTTAAAGGTTTGCCACATTTTTACGATTTTCTTCTCTTTTACGCCAAGATTCCACCGCTTTTCTACCCAAGTTCCGTGTCAGTTGCTTTTAAAACTTGCTCGTTTATCGTGATTTTAAAGTTTTAAATTCTATGTAGTCTTTCTGCTTTATCAAGATGAAAAAACATTTCTAATTTTGATGCTTTTACCGCGCACATAGAATTGGAATGAAGTTCAAATTGAATTATATAAGTAAATTAAAGACCGAATTAGTTTACACATGTTGACTTGGCCAATTTGAAGATATTAACGTAAATGCGAATAAGCAAAATGCAAAAATAGTTTTTGAAAATATTAAATAAATTAACATGAGTGGAACTCACTGATTCATTAAGAAAATAATGCCAACTTTCAAACTAGTATTCTAATAAATTTAGCCTGGTGCTTTTTAAAACTAAATCTTAAAACTATCTTAAAACTAAAATAAATAATATACTATTACATATTACATACGACTACTATGTAAAGTTAAATAAATACTACTTGTATTAAATAAAATATTCTACTAAGGATGTTAAAACCAAAGCAACAAGGATTTATATATCTACCCGAAACCCACAAAACTCATATTACTGTAGCAATACAAATCTAAACTACTGAAAGCATTACAAACTCTACTCGACTTTTCAGAGAAATTCATAGCAGCGTAGAGATGCCGCAAATTTCTAAATAAGTGTATGTGTGTGGTAAACCATCCAGCCATGCTGGTGTAACGTTCTCACCGGTACGGAGCCGATGCGCACTGGTGACCTGGCACGTAAGGTGTTACGGAATCCCTCGAGGAAGTTGAGTTTGCTTTTGGTAGGACTTGGCGTTCTCGGGGATGTATCGCCACCATAACTGGTATCCAATGTGCCGGTCGTTCGTGATCGATGTGCCGGTTGTTGCTTTCTCAATGGCGAATCCTTGTTCGGTTGCAGCGTTCGGGAAGACGACGGTTCCGGCGTCGTGCCGCGACTGCATGCCAGCAAATTATAAGTAAATGCTCGTAAAAACACAGTACCCTTTTTCACTTGCCTTTCTCGGCTGCTAATATGTCAAGTGATTCTGTCTTGCTTTGAGAAACTTGAATTATCACATTAATGTGGAATATTTAGAAACAATGCTATTTACATAGAATTTCATAAAAATAAGGTGCTGTGCTGCCAAAATTCGATTGAATGTTATAATTTGCTTTTCTGATGTATAAGACAGAATAACGTGACTTAATTTTTAAAAGCCCAAAACCCAGTTAGTAATAGTCAAAGCCAATGTCGTCCAGTCTATGTCCATTATACTATCACTAATATCATTTGGTACTGTGTTTTTATTTTGAAACAAAAAATATAACAAGCAGTTAATGGTTAAAGTGCTCTAAACAAGAGGTGCAAAAAACGTGAGTTAGTGAGGTGTGAAAATACAAATAAATGAAACAAAAGTCACTAAATGGACAACCAAATCGGACAAAATATGATACGTATAAACAAATTCACGTCGAGTGCAATTTTTCTTTCGAGACAGAGACAAAACACAAAAACCAGTTGTGCTGACACAGACAAATAAGTATAAGGCACTTATTGGTGGCGAGGAGAGAGGAGATTTTGAGATGAAGGAATATAATATCAGAGACTACGCGACAGAGATTCTTGGTCAATTTAAGATTTATTCTAAACAAAGTGTTACGCTTATGAGTCCATTATAAGATAATGCTTTTTTCACTGCTTGTTTCATCTTTTTTTTGTTTGTTACTGTTGCTTGCGTGTATCTCTTTCGACTAATACGTAATCATTCCTGCTCGTTTTGCAATATTTACAATGTAATAAACACTATCATCTCTCGCCGAGCGCAAATGCGGTAAAGCGCAAAATTTGTCTGTTGCTTATTTTTTGTTGGTTTTATAAACGTTATTAAAATTATTATAAATATATCATACACTTTTTTTAATCATAGTGACACTGCTCTCAGCGGTGCGTACGCATATTTCTCCATTATTCGCATACCACTTTTTGGATCATTTTTGTCTTTCTTTTTATCTTTTGGTTTCTCACTTGTCATCTCGGCTTTTGCTTATTTATACTTGTATTTATATTTATATATTTATATATGTATATACGACCATAGCAATACGTACTAAATATAACGTCATACATACACGTATGTATAGTTATGCACATTGGAACGGATTATTACGCGTTCAAAGGCTCCGTCGAAGAAAAATACAGAGATTAGAGAGACTTGTGTGTTTGGATAAATGCGTTGTGAAATCTAGTTTTTTTAATTTTCTTTTTTCCTTAAATACTTCGTCTCGTCAATTTTTTACGGTTACTGAGAACGTTACTCTTTATTACTTTTTTTGCATGTTATTTTTTGCTTCAAAAACGACAAATTCATAGAAGAGAATAGTTCAGAGAGAACACTTGTTTCGTGAAGAAGCCAAAGATTACACGCAAAGGCATTATCCTGGTGCTAAGAAATGCCTGAAAAATTTTGTTGGCGATAAAAGTTAAAAGTAAAGTAAAAAAAGAAAGTACTTTGAAATAGTTAACTCTAAGATCCTTAAGAAACTAAAGAATCTGCTGTCACGTTTACATGCTAAAGCAAAGTCTCCTGGAACAAAATGCAAGTCCTTATAAGACATTCTAGAAGCTTTCTTGCCCCAGGGGATCTCAGCTGAGGACATTTAATTACTTCCTTCTAAAAGTTCAGTAGCGGTGGTGTGGAAGAAGAGAAGTAGAATAAATATATATTAAAGAAGGTGGGGGCGTGAAGAAAAAATTTTCTTTTTGGCTTTTATCAGAGTGAGTATCTAAATGCCAACTTGTCTCCGTAAAGAAAAAAGAAGTGAGAAGGAAGTATCATCTCTTCGAAGAAAGGGGGCTAAAGGGGCGAGCGAGCAGGGGCGGGGGAGGCGGGGAGCGACTACACTTGCCGTCGCTTACAGCGGTATCATATATATCGTTATCTTTATATAAAATATACAAAAATATGTCGGAACGACGACTATTCACAGATCGAGCGTTAGAGACTAGAATGTAGTCGAGTAGTTTTTTATATATATTTATATAGAGTTGTTTTATTATATTTTTCCTTCTCACATGTGTGTGTGTGTGTGTGTGTGTGTGTGTGTGTGTGTGTGTGTGTATATATATATATATATATATATATATATATATATATATATATGTACACGTGTGAAATCCTTAACTTGTTAATAATCGAGAAAAAACTTGGCCCACAAGAGCCGCTGGTGCTAGAGGAGCTCCCATATTGCGAAAATATAGCATGCAGTTTTATTTTCTTCTTTCGATGAAGAAACGAACGTATCGCTCTCTCAAAAATACGGAGTTTTATTTTTCTTTTAAAAAAAATATTAGTTCGAGCTCTTCTGCTACCAGCCACTCTCGATCATACCACATTGGTTCCGTCTGTATTGTGTGTATTTGTTTCTGAATTTGTGTTAAGTGAGTGTTAGAGAGAGATTTAGAGACTATTATTACTAATAATGCGTGTCTTCTGGAGGGTAAGAGAAAACTCGGGGGGCGAGGGGAAAGTTAAAAACTGTCTCGATTGTTTGCTTTTGTCTCGGCGGCTTACAGTGGATCTTTGGTAAGTTCCTTTTGGTAGGCTATTGGCGACTGTATCGCCTTGAGGAAGTCGCGCTGCGTCTTCAAGATTGAAGTGATCGTTTCCACCCATTCCTGTCTGCGTGGTGGCGTTGTGCCACTACTGCTACCGCCACTCGAATCATCACTCGATGGTGTACCACAGTAACACAAGAAACCCAGATTTGGCTTGCGTGGGTCCGTCGAGCGGATTAAAAACTTCTCAGGGTCGTCCGGCGAATCCTCCAAGACCATTTTGTTTACCTGATTGATCATTTAATTTATTAATAAATATGCCAACGCAACATTTCTCACGTTGAAAACTTAAGTACAGCGATAAATTTCTAGCAAAAGATAGCTTTATAAATAAATTAAAGAAAATTTACGATCGTAACTACATATAGAATATTGTCTTAGCAAACACGACATCATTTTCAAACGGATAGTGCTTCGAACAATTTCATAATATTTGTTTTTACGCGCGCGCTCGCGAGGGAAACTCATGCACGTAACTATGCCATTAGCGAGACATCCTCACGACTTGCACGCAAAAATATGCGAAAACATGATGTAGATAAGAAAGAGAGTGAGTGAGAGAGAGAGAGAGAGAGAGAGAGAGAGAGAGAGAGAGAGAGAGACTTTTCATCTTCGTAAAAAAAGTTCTCTCAAAATTTGTTCCCGTGGACGTTCGAGGCAAATGTATTTAAAACTCAAAAGTGTTTATTTTAATATTTCAGTTACCTGTATGTGAGCCTTGTATATGTAAGCGGGGCTAGTGAATTGCGTTTTTTTACCGACCGCTTCGCTGAAGATAATGTTTTGCTCGAAGAGGAACACTTGCCATTCTCTTCCTCGACTTGGCAGCGACGTGAGCTCAGCGACCATTAACGGACCGTGTAGTAACAGTTTACCTTGCGCAGTTATTTTTCCCTAAAAATACATCGCCAACTTATTAGCGTCTACGCATTAACAATTTTATTTATCAAAACCGTTTGTTAAGAAGCATTGTATTTTAATATTTTTTCTCGTGTGATCGAAAAAATTATGATAGTAACTGCAATAAATGCGAAAAGTAACGTAATTTTGATAAGAGTCTTTAGTTTCGAAAATAGTTGTTTCTATCGTTACAAAAATGAGAATAATATTTTAATAATAAAAACTAAAAATATTAAAAAAATCGTTCGCGACGGCGAGGCGCACGAGAGTAGCCGGAGAAACTTGGCAGAACTTACGTCAAAGCCCTGCAGCCTACCAACGTCCATCATGTCATTAGCTGCCTTGGGAATGACCCTCATAACGTGAACAGCCGCCCTAAGTCCCTCGATCTCGGACTGTCGCTGGGTGCGTTCGGTTAGCCTCAGTGCCTCCTTCAGTAGCAGCTGATACTTCATGATCCTCTGCACTGGTTTGATCAGCAGGTCGCACAGCTGCAATCGGTGGCCTAATTTCTGCCGTAGCTCCTGCAACGACAGCAGTGAAAAACGTTACCCACGGTCAACATCTTGCCATTGAGTCTCGTTTGCCCTTTACCTCGAAGGTGTCTATGTGCTCGGACACAATATACTCGGAGACTGGTTTGTTTTGGCAGTACACCACGTACATGTGCAACTTCCTCTCGTAACGCTTGAATAACGGACCCAACTCTTCGGGCTTCTCCAGACAGTGCTCCAGGGATTTCAGAAACGTGCTGAAATGCGAGTTTTTCCTTCTTAACTCTTCTCTTTACGCGCCAGTCGTCGCGTTCGCATTGGTCGGCCGTTTGATTATTTTGCAATGCTAATAAACGTGCGTTATCAGCTGGCGCGAAACGGCGCTCAGTTTGTGTTACTTGAATTTTCCTCGACTCCGAACTACTATATCGTGTAGAATTTTCCCAAGCCGAGCCGCCGTAGCTTTAATTGAGATATTTACTTCGGGCTAATTAATACAGCGCCAAATCTGCTCGATAACTGTTTGCACAGCGCGAATATTGGACAAGCGATCCAATTAAAATACAGCCAGCTAATTATTCCGTTGACATCTTGGGATACAGTGATTCAGCCAGTTACATCAATTAGCCGATTTCGAATCAATAGAATTCAACCGCTGAATTCACAGCTGTAGCATCTGTTCAAACAGCCGGCGTTAAATGATTATGCAAATAGCCGCAAACGCTTGTAGCGCTACTTAGTTGGCATCGACACTGCCAACCGAATGACTTGTGTACTCCTTTTCGCGTGCCCTATGTATCATTGGGTATCGTTGTTCTAAACACAGACTTTTCCAACTCGATTTTGTTTCTTTTGGCGAAATTCGCAACGAAATGACTTAATCAAAGAAAAACTCACTCTCGGTGCCACTCGTAAATCGCCTCGATGTTGCCAAAGACCATTTTGTCCTTGCCGGCTTTGAGATCCTCCGGCAAGGGAATATCAGTGTTGGGATCCCTCATGAGTGCCATGTACCCCTCGATAATCTGTCGGAGATCGTTGACATAGTCGCGCTCCGTGTCAACGAGCTCGCGTATAACGAACTGACGCTTGGCGAGGGCCGTCGCCTCGGGATCGGCCGGCTCGCCTGCCGTTGTAGTCGGCGGATCTTCGCTCTCCGCCGATGCGTTCGTCGTCGACAGCGACGCCGTCAGCGTCGGGGATTCCGATGACGTGGTTGTGGCCATCGTTGCCGACGATGACGTTGACTTTATTGGAGTTCTCGGCTGCTGCTGCGTGCTGCTACTCGTGCCACTGCTCGTACTGCTTATACGCTCGCGGTTCTCTGTGTGTTGCTCCTGCAAAACAATCCAAATTACCCGTAATGGTTTTCACATTCACGATTGAAAAAAGTACTGCAGGTTTGGTTGCTTCCCGTTCGACGAATTACGAAAGTACCGTCACGAAGCCGCTTCACTTTTTTGGCTGAAAGATCGCGAAAGCGTCTGTACGAGGAACATGGCAATATATCCCAATTCATATTTTATAGTTAAACCAAACAGCATCTTTCGTATTTGTTTTCAGTTAAATTTTTACTGCTATACGCGAATTGTATATTTGACTTTAGTACTGCGATAATTTTAAAATTATAGTAACTCATGATTGATGTTGCAATTTAGCTAATAAAATACATTATTGATTTTGAAAGTGTGTTCAATTTACTATTGTGTTGCATAGCGGCTGTTGCTCCATGTAAGTCGGTTCTGATATCAAGTGTGGAAAAACAATTAAATGATTTAATAGCGAGGCAATATAAATGCGGCGAATGCTCTCATCAACCTTGCAATTACGACGTTAGTTGGAAATATCAGAAATTCATTAAAACGATAATGATCATCACGCGCGCATATATGTATGTGTTGAGTTAACTACTCTTTGTTTTTTTTCATATATACAGTGATGCAGATGAAAAACACGCTCGTAACTTATTTTTAGAAATTGGCGTGTTTGTTGTTCTTTAATTAATATTTATTTGACATCGAAATGTAGGTACCTCTGCATTACAAGCGCCATTTAATAATTCTCGAGTCCGGATGTTGGACCTCATCATCATATACATTTTCAAGGAAAATGAAACGTCGAGGCACGAGTTACAATATTTTCAACAAGTGGACTCGCCGATAAGCGCAGGCATCGAGATTTCGTGTACACAGAATTGTGAATCAATTTTAGATTACACGCTGGGCCAACGGCACACACGGCAGTGGTAAGCCGCAATCGCGTATTTTCCTCGTTCGTCGAAATGTCCGCGCGCGAACAGCTATTTATCAGAGGCGATATCCGGCCGTACTGTCCAATTTTGGCGCACGCGCGGGCCGCTCTACACTGACGACCCGCGCCCGGAGTTGCACAAAGTGTCGCGAAGGCGCTCCTCCGTGAGAGATAAGACATTCAGCCAATCGCGATAAGAAGGCGCTACGCGTGACAAGAGGCACGGAGAGCAAGCGAGAGACAGAGAGAGGGAGAGAAAAGAAACTTACCATGCGCTCTTTGACGATCTGCTCGATCTCGGCGATGTCTGCGCTACTGCTCGGCTCGAGCGGCTTCGTTTCACTGACCTGCGAGCAACAGCGAATCCACAGATGAGCCAAAACTCGCCGCGCGTAATTTCTCTTACGTGCCATCGCTCGACCCGCGCTTATCTCGGTCGCGAGCGCGACTTACGCACTCCGCTTTCTATCTTTCGCCGATTCCCCGTGCGAGCGCCCCAGCAGCGCCGGCGGCGTCGCTATTATCGATAATCGTTACACACAGGTATAATTCGGGACGACGGCGCGGCCATGTGTGTCGCGTCAGCTTTTATCTGTGTGTGCAAATACGATAAGCCGAGCGTGAAGGATTCTTTCGGGCCGGCGTTATATCCACGCGCCAAGGCCTGCCTCGGCGATAGACTGCGCGGACGAAGGTTTATTTGCCGGCAGTGACGCGATTACACCGCCGATGACTTCGCTGGACTTTCCCCTTGTGCTTGTATGCGAAAACGCTTCGGGACTTGCGGGCTTAACGCCAGATTCGCGAACATAAGGCGCTTGATTTGGCGAGCAGCGCCTAAGGCACGAAATTAAGGCTGACCATTCAAATCGCATTTAAAGATAATTTCGTGGTCAGCTGCGCGTATTAAGATTTTCTTTTTTTTAATGCACATCATCCGCGAGCGAGATCATTTCGAGCTTCTGCTGTGCATAAATCACGGCTTTTTCATCCGAGTGTTTGCCATTCAAAGAGATGCTGGACGCAGAACAATCAACCCAAACATTATCTTCTTGATTGATAATCTTGTATTTCTGTACTAACGATTGTAATTCAATTGCAAGTTCACGAGCTCAGCTTCACGTGTACACTATGAAAAATCCACGATAACAAAGTAATTTTTGCGTCGAATGAAAATCAAAATTTATTGAAGACAAAATGCTGGATAGTTAGCTTGCTCCTGAAATTGTTAAACTGTGCAGCTAGCAAATCACCGTAATCGACACACGGAGCTGGAAAGTTCCTTGCGGCAATTATCGAAAATAGTAGTTGAGAGTAGAGCTAGCGTTCCAAACTGGAATCGCCGGTATAATCGTCAATTGTCGATACATATGCGCCCGTAGAAACGCTCATTAAAAGCAAATGACCCTACCAATTTGCCAGGCAATTCGTCACTGGCAACGCTAGCGCCGACGGGAGCTGGAGGCCCAGCAACTAGAATAGGCTCGGTAATGGGTTTCATAGGCGGTGGCAACTCGAGCTGCTCGTCCTCGACGTCCTCGGCGCCGTTCTCCTTCGTCTCATGCGCCGCTGCGATTGTCGTCGTGGCCGTCGTCACAGCGGCGCTCGATAGTGCGTTCGCGGTTTCCTCGGAACTGCTCTGCCTGGATGTCGCTGCCGCCACTGCCACTGAATGCGTCGTCGCCGCCGATGACTTGTCGCTCGAACCGCTCGATGGTAATTTAAACAGTTTGTCCAAGCCGCTGCTCTTCTTCGCCGACGATGGTGGTGGCAATGGCGGCGGTGGTGGTGGACGATCCGACGTTACTGATGACTTGTCCACTTTGCTCTGACTCAACTTGCGCAGTGGCGGCGGTAACCACTTACGTCTGCAATTCCAAAGAGACAAAACGTTCATCGTTGATCGGCTCGCTTCACGGAAGTGTTTAATGAAGCTAAAGAGATAGTAGGGAAGGAAGGGGGAAGGGGGGCGCAAGCATCGCCTCGCCGAGGAAAGAAAAGCCAAGGGAGGGAATTAGTACGGGGGAGAGAGACAGCTCCCCGGAGAACGTACGTTGTGCGAACTTTGCTCGGCGTGTGAATATTTCCGAGCAGCGCGGAGACTCGTCTGAATATTTTCAAAGTTTCTCTCCTTCTCGCGCGCGCGTTTCTGCCTTTTCTTTTCCCGAGATCCGTGATAAGCTCTTATGGGAATACTCGGCGGCGCTGGCTTACGTAATCTTAAAGCTCGACAGGAAAAAAAAAACATAAAACAACGTTGCCACCGCTGGAACGCCTTGCCGCTGCTCTTTAGCCGGCGGAACGTCGCGACGCCGAGATCCAATTTTTCGGCACCCGTTTGAGTGTTCGAAAGTTCGTCGATCACGCAGCGGCACTGACGCAAAACGGTTTTTCCTCTCGGCGAGCCATGCCGAACAGCAAGTCAATATTGAACAGCGCGACTCTTCGTTCCGTGTCCTCGTTGCCGATCGGAAGTGCACGCACGCGCGAGTGAGTTTCACTTTGGCACAGCGTATAGTCTCCGTTCGACGGCGGCGCGGTTTCCGCGTGCCAAGAGTTGCGCGACTGCGTCGGCCGTGGCCGTAGTCGTGTGTCGCGCGGCCTGCTAAAATCGTCGTGCCCGTGCGTGCGAGAACCCTGACTATTGACACTTCTCGACTTCGTGTGCGCATGTGTGCGCGCGCCTTGACTTTGAGCCACGAGAAATGCCGAGAATATTACCGCTCGGCTCGACGGGGCAGTCCATTTTTGAGATTTTTTTTTCCTCCACTCGTTTATCTTGGAATTCCCGACGTTCGTTCCAACGGGGACGAGCCTGTTGCCCTCGCTGTTTCGGAAATCATGCAAAACGCTACTTATCTTGTCACTGCGGAGTGCAAACTCGCGCAAACGTCGAACCAAATAAAATGCCGCAATCAGCGCTGCTTGCAAACTTTGCTTTTTTGTTAAGAAACCCACGATCTCGTCGTCCAATATTTACCATGTGTTTGACTATGAGCCCCAACCATCTCATCCGAAAGCAGTTACGACGAAAAAGTAACTTTGATCACTTTATAAAAAAAGAGGAGAGTCGTTGCACACGTTGCAATCTCCAATGGATTGATTAGCTTTGGGCGAGGGATACCTCTTTCTTGTCCCTCCTCCCCGCGCCTTTTTTTATCTCTCAACGTCTCTGCGAAACAGCTATGCGCTATTGCCCGGAAAAAAGTGTCGTAATTCTCTTTTCTCGTTGCGGCCGCCGCATTTTCCCCCCCTCCTCGAAACGAGCTTTTGTTCCGCGGCCGTAAAACGCTCTCTGTCTTTCTCGCTGCCTCGACGCACCGCCTTTATAACCCAAGTTTAGCCGCGACGACCGACGTCGATTTTCAGATGTGCGCGGTCGCCTCGCGCGTCGCGATTAATTTATCGCGCGCATCCCCTCCCCCCATCCCTCCCACTCCCGTCTTGTGCTCGTCATCGATATCTCAAAAATACAGCCGCGCTACTTCTTAAGAATAGAGCGAGATAAATCGGGTCACTCGGTAAATTATGCGCTACTCGTTCAGAGCTCGTCCTCATCGAGTCGGCAAAAATGCTCGTCGTTTCGCACGATGACTCGGATACGCGCGCGCCTTCACGTTGCGCTGGGTTGGAGGGGGGAGGGACGAGGCTGCTTGGGGCGTCCGATTTCGGCGTTAAAAGGCACGCGCGACGATTTTCCCGATGTGAAAGTCACAAGTGGTGGGCCTCAATACCGCGTCGATGGAAGAGGCGCGAGATGTCGAGAGGTCGCGGCGGTCCGTTTATTCTTTTCACGCGTCGACGATTATCAATTTGTCCCGAGCGCAGCCGCGCTCTTGTATCGATTGGTCCCGCGCTTACCAGAATGGACATGCAAATTCGTAAGATCAAAAGCGAGAGACTGGGCGGGCGAAAAAACAGCGAGACGCTCCGAGCTCGCGGCGACGAAGCGGCAAACGAAACGGGAATTCATTGCAGCGCGATTCACTCTTTAGGAATTAACGCGCTGCCTAAATGTCGCCGGGCGCTGGAGGTCAGTTTTGAATTATTGAAAGCCGCGTTCTGTGTGTGTGTGTGTGTGTGTGTGTGTGTCTCTTTCGTTCGTTCTTACATAGAGGAAACAATGAGAGAGATGAAGAGAGACTCGATCAGAGCTTCGCATCGAAAATAGTAACTGGGACGTGCGTGAATGCGTATATGTGTGTGCGCGTGTGGGTACACTCACCCGCTGAATCCGCGTCTCTTGTTGCCAGGTGAACTCGTGTTTGCAGGGCCGCATCCGTCAGCTCCTATGATTTCTGCAAAGAAAAGATATGCATCGGTTAGTTATGGCGCATTGCGGCTAGGATCACGCGCTCAAAGCCGCTTTCTTCCGTCGGCGGGAGCCTGATTAGGGGAAACCATCGCCACTTTTCAGTTCGTACGGTCGAACCACTGCTACACGAGGGGAATTCAAAATGAAATTGAAGTTGAGCGCGATTAATTATGCTGCTGCTCTCAGGAGAGAGATGCTCGAAAAACCGATATCGTTCATTTGCATATTTTCAGGCATGGCTGGCTGCAGCGAAAACGTTGCCGCATTTACGTGGATTTGCGAATACGATATTATGTTTCAGTGGATTAAATATGCGTCGCTTCCACATTGCCGAGCGTTCGCTACAAACAAAAATATTCACTTAAAACGAAAGCATACACCAGGCTGAGCTTTTCTCTCACGCCGTTACGTTTTACCTGAGATTATAAAGCGAAGAGAATAATTTGACACATAGTATCATCCGAACAGACTGATTTTGATATTAGACATTCTTATTTGTTGCTGATTATCAAGTTATATCAGGAGTCGAAGGAGCATCTTGTTTTAAAGCTATATAATCAGAATCTTTGTTCCGCTTATGCATACAAGTTTGCGCATTCACTAGATGACAGCACGGAAATCAAATAAAAGCCATCTGCTGCATACAGTGACAGAATTAAGATCTCGTAGAGAGTTGCTTCTGAGAAATAGCAGCTTTTGGCAGAACGTTCAATTTCATGAATATCGTCAGAATGGTCTTCTTTCACCCTCGTGACATTGCAAATCCCTTACGCGAAAAATGCAGACCGTAAAATGAAAAAAAAAAAAAATTAAAGTATCACTGCTCGCTTGCTCCTGACTCTCGTGCTCACCGTGGCGACGCAGTGGCGAAATAACTACCATTTCGGGGCGAAAACAAAAAGCCGCGCGGGCGCAGCGATTTTCCAATCGGCGCACGTTCGCAGGCGACTGCCGGTCGTCGCAGCCCGCGAGGAAGATTGCTCTTCGCGTGCTCGCAGTCACCGAATCAAAACTCCGTAGTCGGGGCCGCATTTGCATGAGAATTGGCGCTGGTCGATCGATCGCGAAACACGCAGAGCGCAGCTACGCAGCGGCTAATTGTCCGGCGCGTCGACGGAGACGCGAGCGTCGCTCTGTATATTCATGGGCACTTCCGCGTTTGCACACAATGCGATCGGCGGCGATGGAGCTCGCCGGCATGAATTCGCGTCAGGCGGGTCTCGCAGCGCGATCGGGGGGCCTTGCTTCGCCGAGTGCCTCGCGGCCGAGGACAATCGTCGCGCCATCCGGCCGAATCCCGCGAGCGACTCGGCCTCGTCGGATTTCCCGTGTCGCGCACGCTCGAGCGTGCCGTCGAAGCGACGACGGGCCATATCGCTAACAGCTTTCTGTCTTTGCATTTACTTAATGGACCCGCTCCGGCGCCCCCTAGCTTCCCGTGTCTACTTGCCGCGACTACTCCATTAAGCTTTATAGTCGTCGTGCGCCGGTGGAATAGGGCTCTCGCCGGCTAATAATAGGCGCGCAATTACAAGGCAGTAGTAATGCCTCTCGAGCTGCTGTCACGCGCGCCCCGTCGAATCAAGAGAAATCCGAGCGAACGACACCTCGAAAACCCGAGGCGCAGCGACGCGATTAGCGAGCCTGCCGTCGCTCCCCGCCTCGCGCACTTTTCCATTAGCAGACCAAGAGAAAAAGCTGAAAGGCGGCTGTTGTTTCATTATCAGTGCGACAACGGTCGAATCATTAATATCGTACCCCGAACTATTGGAAAGAAGCAGGTGGCCGAAGGGAAATGGACAGGTCTCGTAAGAAGTGTCGACGGACGGAGGCGGAAAAAGGTAGCTTTCTCGATTTCAAGATCCGAGTCGTGTGTTCTATTGTTGCGAGAGCAGCTAATCGAATCCTCTCTCTGATCTCTCTCCGCTTTCTCAAAGTTTCGAAGCGCCTATTGTGTCGTTCTGGGCGTGACAATGAGCTTGCGCTTAATTGGATTACGAATTCTGCATCTTTTGCAGCGACGATCGCGAGTCGAGCGCGAAAAACCTCGACGAATTTCCGTCCCGAGTCGTACGGCCAGCGCTAGGAAATTACCGAAGTCTGACGTTCTCCAGTCCGTTATCGATTATTCTTCATTACGACGATGATGACGCTCGAGGATTACAAAAGCAGAGATGACCAGGGGGGGGGGGGGGTAGCAGCAGCTGAAAAAGGCCGGATAATGATGTCACGAGACAGCAGTGCTGGGCGCATATAACGTATTTCACGGGCATTGCGTCATTTGGTTATAATTAATAACGTCTCGTCTTTTTTGAGCGCCAAGGCTGTCCGCCTCTTTATCTCGCTGCCGAGAGCGCGCTGCAACGCGGGCTTTTCCGATAAGTATATGCGCGCGACGCGCCTTTGACATTCGGCCGGGCGGCGAGCTCGATTAAAGCCATTCGTTTTCAATTAGGACGCGCGTTCGATTCGCTCGCTCGACTCAGCCTCCCGTCGACGTTAGAGCGATCGATTGGCGCGCACCAGACGGGCGAACAAATCTGAGAGGGCCAAGCTCGGGACTGTGCGCGTGTCATTAATTGCTCCGAGAGCGTCTCCGGTCTTTAATCGCTCGGTCATCGTGCTGCTACAGTTGCCACGCACCGGATGTTCGCACATTGGCCTTGTTCGATCCGGAATAAATCGTCGAAACCCGCTCGAAGCGCCGCCAAGTCCCCGACTACGGGGGGAGAGGACGAGGAAGAGCGCGCGGGAAATACGGACCACGATCGCACGGCAGCGCGCGCGTGGGTCGGTGGCGTGCGGTTTGCGCGCGACCAAAAGCCACTTCGGGCTCACGAGACACGGAAGCGCGCCGTCCACAAGTGCACGCGAGCGCTAATTCGCAATGTCGCGTCGCGTCGCTCTCTCTCTCTCTCGCTCGCTTCACAGGGCGATCGATAATTTTTCGATTACCAAAGGGCTCGCGCACGCAGCCTCGTTAATTGAGCGCTCGCGCGAACGAGAACGCCGCCCTTCCCCGTCCGCTGCGGCAAAGAAGCTTTCGGTCACCGCGCGCGCATGATAATCGCGTTTAATGGCGCACGGTTTTAGTCTAATTGGACTAGCGCCGGCAATGTTGCACGCCCGCGCGGTAATGCGTCTTTCTTTTCTCCCATTGTTGTTCGCCACATGGAAAACGGAGACTTGCAAGCGCGTTACGGCTAATTAATAATCTAATTCGGTACAACGCTATCTCTACCAGATTTACCGTCGCGGTTGGCGCGTTGCGCGAGCACTTTCTTTTTTTCGAATAGCCTGCTTAGCCGAGGCTCCATAAAATTTCACACGGGACTCGCGTCGCGCGACGGCGCGCAGGATAAACAGACGAACGTGCGCATCCGGTTGACGGGACGAGACTTCTTAAACAAGACTCTGTACACTAGAGAACGCGAAGAAAGCTAATTAGCGGTGAGCTTCAAAAGTGACGATGGAGTCTGGATGCCGGTTCGACGCGCGTATGCTCGACGTAGTTGGGAGGACAACGCCGTTACGTCGCTTCGCCTTCTTCTTCATTTTCTTCCTTTTTGGTTCTTTACTCGCGTAAACGTCGCGGATCTCAAGGGAACTCGAGAGCGAAACGGAGAGACCCGGTCCTCGTCGAGGCGCCGAAACTCGCGGCCGCTTTCGACAGAAATCGCACGCGGATCTATCACTTCATCCCCCTATTATTAGTTCTCGCGCGCGCACGGCTTTATTATTCGGCGGCCGCTATTTCCGGCGGCCGGCTATCTTTGGGTTGCGCGCCAACGACGGTCGAGAGGTAAGCGCGTCGCGGTCACTTCGCATCGCGTCGCGCGCGACGGCTCCGAGCAATTTTATCCAGCGCAAGCCTCGGAGACGAGAATCGCCAAGGTCGGCGTTCATCGCGGACGATCGCGATTTCCCCCCCTTTTTTTTATTTCCTTTCTTCTTTCGGCATTGTGGAATTCGTCCGTGGTATCGCGCGGCAAACGAACGGCTCCCGCTTCCCGTGCAACAAAGTGGCGTTCGCGTAAATTATCGCGATTCTCGCGCGTTCGATGCCAAGGTTAGCGCGGCAACTTTCTTTCGCGCGTGCGATTCGGAAATAGAAGTTGCGTAACGCGCGGAGAATACGTCGCGGGCCGCGAGAAGCACGCGATAGCTTTTTTGGCAAGGGAGAGCAGCCGGGCGAGAGAGAAAGAGAGAGAAAAGCTTTCGACGCGCATGCAAGGTGTTTATTAGCCTCGGGCGATTATACTTCTTGGCAGCGGCCAAGCATTGTTCGGGGCGCGCTGTAATTTTAGTCCCGAGACGGAGAAAATGCGTCGGACTTGTGTCGTCGACGCGCCACGTTCTCGAAATGTAAACGCGGCTGTTGTCGGGGACGTCGATCGACGAGCGTGGGCGCAACATTATGTCAGACCTGCGTCGTTGGCGACTCGCGGCAGCGAGCAATTCCTCCTCGAGGTGGATTTCGACATGGTCGCAGCGTCGGCCTCAGTGCCGTGAGGTCTCCGACACGGCCATAGTACGCACAGCACTTTTGCACAGCGAAGAGGACGCGGCCGGAAGCGAGAAAGAACCGAGCAGCTTGACAATTGCCGAACGACTGACTGAGTGCGGCTTCGCGCCGTGGCGGCGACTCGACGAGAGTGTACGCGGCGTGGTTTATAAATATTGTTAAAGCACTGAGCTAGTGGGCGGGGAATTCTTCTCTCTCTCTTGCGTGCGAGAGAATGAAACTACGTATCCGCACGCGTCTATTCTTTCCGGGCAAGTGGCTACGTATTCTCCTCTTCTTGCTTTATTTCAGGATTTCGCTTTGCGCGTGGGGTTTTACGACTCATCCGATTGCCTGGCGCCCGTTGTCGTTTTGCCGTCGTGCTGGATGGAAACGAATTCGGCTTCTCGCGAACGACGAGTCGAGAAACGAGAGGACGGACATGCCCGAGGAGTTGAATGGGCGGTGGATCAACGACACGACGTAAGGAGTCTGATATCGGAGCGACGAACGATAAAAATAAACAGGTGAGCGCGTGAAAAAAGCCTTGGAACGCTGCGCCGATGAGGCCGCAAGCGGAAAGGTGCGCAGACGGCAGCGCAAGGTCCTCGCGACTTTGGGACCGACGCGTCGCGCGAAACAAGCCTATATTCTACGACTGAAATATGAATATTCGAACGAGAACGCGACGGCAGGATGCAACGGGTACGCGTGCATCAAAGTACAGAGCACCATAGGACGGAAGGGCGGCGCGGTGTGAATTGTTCATCGATCGGCGTCGACGCCGTGCCTCGAATGGACGCTGTCGCGACTCGAGTACGAGCGCTCAGCAATTTCCCTCCCCGTGCTCGTCACGAGATTCGCGCGAGGAGCGCTTTCTCGCCGGCCGTACTCGCTCCGAGTTTTCCGACGATTGTACCCGCGGCACGAAGGGCCGGCTAGCTTCCCGGCAGGTCGACGCTGTCGCGTCTGGAAGCTGCACGGAGCTGGTCAAGGACAGCCGTGAGCTTCACTACCGGTACGTATTGATCGGGGAGAGCGCCGAGACGCACGTGTGCGCCGCACGCGACAGTTGATCTTCCTCCGCTTCGTTGGCGAGCTGTTAGTTTCTCCGGGAAGGCACCTCGGGGGCACGACGACCGCATTCAATGCAGAGAGAACAAAAAAAAAAAAAGACTTACCGTCATCCGGATTGACAGACGTCTGCTGGGCGACCAGTGCAGCACCGCTCGGTGGCTTCCTCGACGGCGACGTTTTGCACGCGGCGGCCGGCGGCTGCTTGAGCGCGCTGGTCGGCACGAGACCCTCGGGCGCCGGCTCCGATTGTCCTGGCGTCGACGGCAACCTCACCAGCGTCCACTCGCCATTGCTGCCGGTCACGCTGCCGTTCTGCTCGAGCACTTCGACTTGTTGACCCTTGGTCACGCTTAGCTCCCGCGTGCCCGGCGTCGCCGAGTGATCCGCTACCACCCAAGTCATCTCTGCCACTCCGGTCTGCAAAGTGAAGAGGGACGTGGCTTCGTTGTAATTTTGCGGGCGCCTCTTGTCTCGCTTAAACAGAATGCATGGCTGGCTATTCTCGGAGGATAAGTTGCCTAATTTTTAAAAGAAGGTGTTTAGAAGTCGCAGTCTAGATACGCGAGGAATTTCGTCGTGAGTAGCGATCGCAACAGGTATGTCGAATGAGCATCGAGTGAATTTGTAAAAGAAGATACTACCCGGGAAATTATGGAATTCGAGTTTTGTATTTAGGAAGAGTTCTGTGCGCGCAAATCGTTGGAATTCATACAGGCGAGCTTTCAGATTCAATCGGATCTTCGTCCGAATAAAAATGTTGCGCGATGAATACTTCAATGAAAGGCATGATTCTTAACTAGCGCATCCCCACCGTTATCCAATGCTATCGTCTAATTATCGAAAAGCTGTGCGTGTGTGTGCTTTCGGGATAATTCACAGTGCTCGTAATCTGCATCGCAAGAATTTCAAAGAGGGAAAAATCCATTGGAGCAAACAGAGGTTGTCAGCCACCGAAGAATATTGAGCGAAATGCGCGCGATAGACTTCAAAGCGTAAGGTTTCACCGACATATTATGCGTATTGTTCACATTTGAGGCGCTCGAAGCATTATAATTCGATGGCTTTTGAATAATGATTTGGCGCGATCGGTAAACGCTTTACACCGTAGAGCACGAACGAAAAAAAAACAGCGTTAGCACGATTCGCAGGTGACGATCCGACGATAGAATTCGCCGTTCTAAGTTTCGTTGAATAGCGCTCGGCGAAACTGAATAAGCATAGTCGACGCTGAGGCGGGAATTAAGCAGGTCGAGCCGAACAACTCGAGGGTAACCCAAAATGAAAATAAAAAATGAAAGACACGTCGTAGCGGCGATAAATCGCGGCAGGCCGAATCGGAAATCGGGAAGGGCGACTAAATCAAAGAGTCGGTTGATAAGAGCCTGTAACGGTCTAATCGTTCTGCCCCCTCTACCGGCTAGGTTATAATTGGCTGGGATTCGTGGATAGGAAATAAGGGAGGCGGTTGCTTCGGCCGAAGAATCCGCACGCGATTAATCTAAATTAATCCGAGGGGAGGAAAAGATAGCGCTTGTAGCGTCCGAAGGGAGGGCGACGCGACAAGGCGATTGCCGACAAGAAGTCAATTAATTTGTCGGGAAGGCAAAAGTTTGCCGCGCGAGCGTGTCGCAATAGTCGTATTCGGAAATAACGGCAAAAGGCACGTGCAGCCGGTTCGTCGGCCGACAATCAATTACTCGAGCCTGGGAGAGCAAAGAAAAAAAAGGAGAAAAATAAGTGGCATTGCACTCGCGCGCCTAAAAAGCCGCAACAGCGGCGCGCAGGCTTGCACGCGTGGTTTTCAATTAACGGGAGAGTCGCACGAAGGGGGGAGAGAGAGAGAAAGAGAGAGCTTTATTGGATTCCGATTGTGTCGCTCTCTCGGCCGTACATCGATTATTGTTCTTGGACAGACTCGCATTCCAAACTTTTTCTCTGATTAATCATTGTGTAATTACATCCTTTTATCCCGCGCTGGCTGAGGGGAGGGGCTACCCTTACCTACTCGAAATATTCGCGAGCATTTCGTATAATTAACGAGCTACGGTTGAACGCGCCTACGCAACGATTCACTATTCTCATGGTCTTGCCTGATATGTTTCCTGAGCGCAGGGGAAAAAAAAGGAAGTTTTACGACACAGGTCAACGGAAAATATTCGTGTACTTGGCAAATCGTCGAATTACGTAGCGCGGAGACCGATTGCTATTCAACGAGCTTCCTGAGGACACGCGACGCGTTAATTCTCAACATTATATGCCTCTTTTCCAATTAGCCCTCAAAATAAGACGTTCAGTCAATCAATCCCCGATCAAAATCATCTTCAACGCGCCAATAATTCACTGAACGAGCGGTCTTTTATTCAGTTCTTTCTCGGAAATCTATCAGCGGGCGAGTATATAAAATAATCATGTCCGAAATCAATGAAACTAGCGGCCATCGTGATAAATAATTCCCTCGAACTGCTTTTGGAGTTGCGCACGAGAGTCAATTATTGCGATAATTGCGAGCATTCGAATC